CCCTCCACTTCGGTGCCACTCTCGCTTCAGTAGCTCTCCTCCTCACCCTGTTGTCTTTCTGGTCCCTGCCCCTCCCTGGCGCTGGGACAGGAAGTTGAGGGAGGAGGCCTGAGTGGTGCCAGCTCCCCCAGCCTGCTTCCCCTTCTGTACCTCGGGCCACTCCTCTACTTCCTCCTGGAGTATCCCCTTCCCTCGTGGTCCCCCTATTCCTTCCCCAACCCACTTTTCCTTCCTCTCCCATGTTCCCCTGCTCCCAGGCGCTATAGACACACAGGCGGCGGGGTGGGGGGAGGATTGACATCACATTGCAGGCCCCAATGAACAGTCTCGCCCCTCCCCCTCCTAATGAGAACCAGCTGTGGTTCCAGAGGCCCAGATGTGGGGGGAGAGGGGGAGAGCAGGATGGAGCCAGAGGACAGAGTAACAGGACGGGGACAGGGCGAGGGCATGCAGCAAGGCAGAGCTGGGTGGGAGAGGAGGTGTGACAGATCGGGGGAAGGAAAGACAGATCTGGGCGGGAGGCAGGACAGACAGACTGGGGAAACACAAGATGGATGGTTGATCTGGAGGAAGGGATGGGACAGGGAAAGAGACAGGAACAGGGAGGAGGAGCAAGGCTTGGGGAAGAGGCAGTGAGAAACACTGGACAGATGGGGAGAAGGTGCTGAGAAGAGAGTTGGAGAGAGGATGAGACAGTCTCGGGAGAGAGTCTGGAGTTCGAGTTTGGAACTGGAAGCTCTGGAGCAGGAAGTGGTGAGGCAGAGTCCAGACAGAGGCCCCAGGGACCTAGAGGTCACAGCTGCAGCCACAGAGCTGACCACGAGTGCCCCGGCAGCATGTGTGAGAGCATGCCTGCATGTGGGTGGGTCTGCAAGTGTGTGCGCGCGCACGTGCCTGCCTGTGTGGGACTGTGCTTGTGTGAAGGTGGGTCTGTCTGTGCGTATGGGAAGGCAGTGCGTAGGAGTGTGCCTGTGCGTATACATGGGAGGGGTAGGGTACCTGCTTCCCCATGTGCCTGTCCATGTGAGGCCTATGAGAAAGCACCTTTTTGTGTGTGTCTATATGTATGCCTGCATGTGAGTGTTTGGGGGCGAGGGAGTCCATGTGAATGAATTTGCACATCTGTGTGTGTGAAATATGTTTCTCTGTATTTGTGAAGAGGATATCTGTGTATGTACCCTGATTGTGTCTGTTGTCGCCTGACCACGTGTGAATGAATGTTTGTTGAGTGTGCTTGTATGCAAGTAAGTTAGTGCACGTGTGGACCTGTGGCTTCTGAGTATGCATCTTTGTGTGTCCACTGTGAGAGTGAATGGGGACAGTTGGCATGGAAAGGGATCCAGGCTGGGTGATGAGGAGGGCCACAGTGTGGAAGCAGGGCATCTGCCCGAGTCTGAATCCCTCCTTTCCGTAGTCGATCTTTCACCTGACCTTATATCGCATACCTTTCGTATATCCTTTCATTCAAAAAAAAAAAAAAAGAGTATTGATCATGTACTATGTGCCATGCTCTACGCTATTCACCAAGGTGAATAAGATACAATCCTGGCCTTCACATAGCTGACATTCTGTCTCTGGGTGGGAAGGCAGAGAGTTATAACACTGTGTAATAAGTACATTGACCTTACTGTCCTTTCTCTCCTCTCCCCACCAACCATAACGGCTTTCTCTCTACTGACTGATTAAATGAATAGAACCAACTTTTAACCCTTATGTGGAACCCAGTCTCTGGCCTTGGGCCATCCCTGTACTTTCATTCTCTCCCCTCTTTGAATCAGGCCGATGTTCAGTCTGACCTCCTTGTTCTGAACTTCTCTGACCTGTTGTTCCTTACAGCAGCTCCATGGGCTCCTCAATCTTAAGCCCTGGGGAAACCCCAGAACTCTGAAGCTGGGAAGAGGGGACCCATGAGAGAGCACCTACCAAATGCCAACTCTGGGCTCCTTGCTTCCATTGCCTCTAATTCTCACAAAACCTCATAGAGTAGCTTTTTACCAGAGCCATTTTAGAGATTAGGAAAATCACAAGGACCGGATTCAAATCAGCTCACACTCTGGAGACCCTGCTCTTTTCGTAGCCCCACACAGATGGGAGAGGGTGGGCGCTGGGAGTGTAAGAGTGGGGCCAGAAACTCAACTTCCTTAGCAAGACGGGAAGTCCTGGAGCAGAGCAAATCTGTATAGACCCAAGGACACACTTTTGTAGCCACAGTATTGACCATGATGTCTCAAGGGCACAGGCTTACATGTGTTTGTCATCTTAGTTGGCATGTCCATGACTGTTTCTCTCTGAGTCAGTAGGTGAGTGTGGTGGTGTGCAATTCTGAGGCTCCAACCATTCAGTCAGCACTGATTTAGTCTCTGATTCTACCCAACGCTGGAGAATCAGAGACTAAATAGGACCCTCAAGTTGCTGTCCTCAGGGAGCCTCCAGTTCTGAAGGGAGGCAGACATGTAAACAAACCAGGGCTGCTATGCAACGAATGTCAATGTGCACCCAAAGCAGTGGGAGCCCAGTAGAGGGTCCAGCTGGCTTTGTAGGGGGTGATGGAGATGTAGGAGATCCCACAGAACACAGGACATTTGAGTTGTATCTCGAAGTTTGAGCAGGAGATGGCCACTTGGAGAGGATTTATAGGGGATATCTCAGGCCGAGAGAATACTTCATACAAGGCAAGGAGTTGGAGAGGAACATGATAATGGGTTAGTGTTGGGATGCAGGGCATGGTGGGAAAAGGAAAGGGCAGGCACTCTGGAGAGGTTGGCAGGACTCAGATCAGGAAGATATATGAAGGAGGTTGGACTTCACATTTTCGGCCAGAAATTCTATACCTAATGTCCATGAACCCATGAAACTACGGGCACAGTTTGTGAGTATGTGATCTGATTTTTTCCCCTGGAGACACAGTAGTTTCTGCTCTAAGTGGAAGCCTTTTGTCAGGAGTGGTTTTTTTGAGAGCTGTGTGGATACCTCCGGTCAGGTGGAGATGAATCAGATAGTCCAAGCCAGGAGGTTGGGGGATCCGTAAGGCGTAGAATTGAAAGGAGAGATGACAAAACTGGCCCTGTGACAGCAGCAGTGGGAAAGAGAGGAAAGATTCGCCCTTGAGACATGTCTAGTGGAGATGGTTAGGTTTGGATAACTAATTGGAAATATGACTAAAGAAGAGCAAGGAAGCCAAGAGAGCTTCCAGATTTCTGGCTTGGACACCTGGATGAGTGGTGGTGCTGTTCCTGGGAAAGGGGCTGGAGGAAGAAAGTCAGCTTGAGGTGAAGGCTGGGGATCCGCTGTGAAGGAAGTCCAGAATATGGCTGCACATGTGTCTCCAGAGCTAGAAATGGAGATCAGAAAGTTATTAGCAAATAGGTGGTATATATAAAAAAAAGATTGCTATGCCCTAGCTGGTTTGGCTCAGTGGATAGAGTCAGCCTGCGGACTGAAGGGTCTCAGGTTTGATGCCGGTTGAGGACACATGTCTGGGTTGTAGGCTGGATTCCCAGTGGGAGCGTGCAGGAGGCAGCCAATCAATGATTCTTTCACATCATTGATGTTTCTAACTCTCTCTCTCCCTCTCCCTTCCTCTATGAAAGCAATAAAAAAATATTTTTTTTAATGATTGATACATTTGAATTGAAGGCATGGGAAAGGAAAGGAGGAATGATGTGACCAGGATTGAGTCCTGAAAAGAACCAGTTTTTTAAATCTTCACCCAATGATATGTTTTTCATTGGAGAGAGAGAGAGAGAGAGAAATCTTATCAGTTACCTCCCATATATGCCCCAACTGGGAATCGAATCCACAACCTACGTATGTGTCCTGCACGGGATGACACTCCAACTAACTAAAGAGCCACCCACCCACCCAACTAAAGAGCACCAGTTTTTAAAGGATGGGTAGAGGAAGACCTTGTACAGAAGATGGAGGAGTGAACAGAGAATGGAAGGAAGAGGTGGGGTCACCATGTGAAGCCAAGATGAGTAGGCTCCAAGAAGCTAATGACCATAATCCAGTGTTCCAGAAGGATTAAAAAAAAATGCCCAATAGATGTAGGACATAGAAATGAGTGGAAGCTTAGTGAAAGTAATGTCATAGGAGAGCAAGTCTCACTTCATAGAGGGTGGAGGGTGTGAGAAGTGAGAAATTGGAATAAATGAATCAGCCTTCCAGAGAGGGTGGCTCTCGCTTAGTCACTAAATGCCATCTTGAGGCTTTAGGTCTCCTCCTTCCTGAACTGCAACAGCATTTGAAACCCTACCTCTCCTTAGCTTCAGAGTACCTCCCCTCTCTGGTTTTCTGTCTTCTCTTTCTCTGACCAAAGTTACCTTTGTCCAACTCATAGTTCAGGCCAGAAATTTGCCCATCATGCTTGACTTCTCCCACTACCTCCTCCTTTGCCTTCAAGCAGTCATCAAGCCCTGTCCGTTCTACCTCCTGCAGACCTAGCCACTCCTGAGGCCCTTTCCACCGCCGTCATGTTCATGGCGAACACTCATCCAAGTCCCCATCCAAGCCATGCAAGCGCCTGGACTCCCACAAGTGTGTTACGAGGGCTGTCCTAAGATAACCATCTTCACAACATGTCAGTCAGATCTTGGCACATCCCTTCTCAAAACACGTTTGTGGCTTCCGTTTGCTTTCAGGATAAAGTCAAACCCCATCCATATGGCTTATGAGTCCCTGCCCCACTTGGGAATCTGAGGGCATTCAGGCCTGAACAATAGGAACAAGACAATCTGCTGCGAGCAGGGTCAGGTTGGGGTGGGAACCTGCCAGGGAAAGGTGAGTGGGTCCTGCGGAGTCCTGAAAGCAGAGGCCCCAATCTCCCTGAATTGTTGATTCCTTCCCCCTCATGACTTTTTTCCTTCTGATTCTCTCCCAGGTCAGAGAGCCTGCACTGGAGTCAGTGCTCAAATTGGACCTGATCCAGAGCCTGAGATCAAGCTGGGCCCAGAGCCTGGCCTGGAGCCAGAGCCCAAGTCACATCTGGTCTCGCGCCTGTCATGCAGAAGGAGCTGGGCGCTGTGCCTCCCTGCGCTGGCATGCAGGGCCGTGGGCCCCTCCCCCTGCTCCCACTGCTGCTACTGCTGCTGGGGACCAGGGTGCCAGGAGCCTGGGGTCAGGCCGGGAGCTTGGACCTGCAGATTGATGAGGAGCAGCCGGCAGGCACACTGATCGGGGACATCAGCGCAGGGCTCCCGGCAGGCACGGCGGCACCTCCCATGTACTTCATCTCTGCGCAGGAGGGCAGCGGCGTGGGCACAGACCTGGCCATCGACGAGCACAGCGGGGTGGTCCGGACGGCCCGCGTCCTAGACCGTGAGCGGCGGGACCGCTACCGCTTCACCGCGGTCACCCCTGACGGCGCCACCGTGGAAGTGACCGTGCGGGTGGCTGACATCAATGACCACGCGCCAGCCTTCCCGCAGGCGCGCGCTGCCCTGCAGATACCCGAGCACACGGCGCTCGGCACTCGCTACCCGCTGGAGCCGGCTCGGGACGCGGACGCTGGCCGCCTCGGGACCCAGGGCTACGCGTTGTCCGGCGATGGGGCCGGAGAGACCTTCCAGCTGGAGACACGTCCTGGTCCGGATGGGGCTCCCGTGCCCGAGCTGGTGATTGCGGGGGACCTGGACCGAGAGAACCGCTCACACTACATGCTGCAACTGGAGGCCTACGACGGCGGTTCGCCCCCCCGGAGGGCCCAGGCCCTGCTGGATGTGACGCTGCTGGACATCAACGACCATGCCCCGGCCTTCAACCAGAGCCGCTATCACGCCGTGGTGTCCGAGAGCCTGGCCCCCGGCAGCCCGGTCTTGCAGGTGTATGCGGCCGACGCCGACGCCGACGCCAACGGGGCCGTGACGTACGAGATCAACCGGAGGCAGAGCGAGGGCGACGGGCCCTTCTCCATCGACGCGCGCACGGGGCTGCTGCGGCTGGAGCGGCCGCTGGACTTCGAGCAGCGGCGGGTCCACGAGTTGGTGGTGCAGGCTCGGGACGGGGGGGCCCACCCGGAGCTGGGCTCGGCTTTTGTGACCGTGCACGTGCGGGACGCCAACGACAACCAGCCCTCCATGACCGTCATCTTCCTCAGCGCCGACGGCTCCCCCCGCGTGTCCGAGGCCGCCCCGCCTGGCCAGCTCGTGGCTCGCATCTCCGTGTCCGACCCAGACGACGGTGACTTCGCCCACGTCAACGTGTCCCTGGAGGGCGGAGAGGGCCACTTCGCCCTGAGCACCCAGGACAGCGTCATCTACCTGGTGTGCGTGGCTCGGCAGCTGGATCGGGAGGAGCGGGACGCCTATAACTTGCGGGTGACCGCCACCGACTCGGGCTCCCCGCCGCTGCGGGCCGAGGCCGCCTTCGTGTTGCACGTCACCGACGTCAACGACAACGTGCCCGCCTTTGACCGCCAGCTCTACCGGCCGGAGCCCCTGCCTGAGGTCGCGCTGCCTGGCAGCTTCGTGGTGCGGGTGATGGCCCGCGATCCTGACCAGGGCACCAACGGGCAGGTCACCTATAGCCTGGCCCCAGGCAGCCACGCCCGCTGGTTCTCCATCGACCCCACCTCGGGCATCATCACCACGGCGGCCTCGCTGGACTACGAGGTGGAACCCCAGCCACAGCTGATCGTGGTGGCCACGGACGGGGGCCTGCCCCCTCTCGCCTCCTCCGCCACCGTGAGCGTGGCCCTGCAAGACGTGAACGATAACGAGCCCCAGTTCCAGAAGACTTTCTACAACGCCTCGCTGCCCGAGGGCACCCCGCCGGGAACCTGCTTCCTCCAGGTACACCGCGCGGTGCTGCTCTGGGCGGGAGAGGGTCAGAGGGCCACCGGGGAGCTCAGAACAAGAACTAAGCCTTTCAGGGGCCTCTGTTGATGGTGACGTATGCCAGAGGGTTTGGTTCTGACCTGTGAGCTCCAAAGTCTGTGCAGAGGGTAAGGGTTAGTGAAAAGATGAGAGAGCAGGGTGCAAGAGCTGGGTCAGGCAGTCTTGGTAGCTGGAATTAAGATTGGGTCTAGAGGAAAAAAGTGTCTTGTGATGTCTAGAATGAACTTACCCACTGTAAGTGCTGCTCGGCTGGGTCCTGGGAGCCCAGAAAGGTGACGGTCTTGGTGGAGAGCCTCGCCAGTAACGAGTGTAGCAGGCCGCATAGGAGCTGCTGTGGAAACCCAGAGGACAAGAGACTTTGTCAGAGCCAATGAGACTTTGAAGAGCCAATGAGACTTTGTCAAATGGACGATACAGGGTGTGTGACTAGGGGCTCCAGGCCTACAGAAGGAGCTGCAGAACACCATGATGTGTTCAGGGGACTTCACTGTTCAGATGAAGTTGTGCTGATGAGAAGGCGTTGGAGGGAGATGAGACAAAATTGTAGACAGAAACCAGATTATAAGCTTTGACTTTATCTTAAAAATCATAGGGAGCACTGGCCAGTGTGGCTCAGTGGGATGGGTGTTGGCCTGTGCACCCAAAGGTTGTGCGTTCGGTCCCTGATCAGGGCACTTACCCGGGTTGTGGCTCATTCCCCAGTAGGGAGCATGCAGAAGGCAGCTGAACAATGTTTAGTAGTACTCTCACATCAATTTTTCTCTCTCCCTCTCCCTTCCTCTCTTTCTAAAAAAATCAATTAAAAATATATATTTTTAAAAACCATAGGGAGCCAATGAAGGGCTCTAGGCAAATTTGACATGTCTTTTAGAAAGATTGCTTTGGCTGCACCATGGAGTATGGATGCCAGAGGGAATGTACGGGGGTCTCTTAGGAGACTAATGATTGAGGTCTTTATGTCTCAGAAGTCCACCAGGCCCCTGAACATCTTCTCAGGGGCTCCCTCTCAGCTAGACTTCCAGGCCTTGCCTGGGCGTGGCTGACCCTCTCCCTTCGGGCCAGACTTAGGTTGTTTGCCTGCCTGCTGCTGTCCAGCTCCCACCCACACTCGCATGCGTTTACTGTCCCTCCTGGCCCAGGACCAGTGGCTTCCAAACTTCGTTCTCCTCACCAGTGCCTGAAGCAAGAGGGCAACTCTCCAGGTGGTTTCCTGGAGTTTTTACTGTTAGTAACCATAGGGAAGCAGGCGTAAAAATAACCAGTGGGTGTTCATAGTGGTTACAAGAAGTCTTAATATTCGATTCACTCAGCATACATTTAGAGTATCTATCAGGTTCCAGGCGTTGTGTTAGGGACACAGAATGAATGAATCATTCAGCTTCCCTCCCCTAACACCCCCCCACACACACACTTCATGGAGTTTATAATGGAGAGGGGAGATTCATGTGCAAAGAAACAGTTTTACTGCAGCAAGGAAACACCCATGATGGGGATACATGTGAGGTACAGAAAGGCAATATAAATGTCTTTCCAAAGGTGAGGATTCTTGAGCTCAGACTTAAAGGGTACGCAGGAGTTTATGAGGGGATGGGACAGGGGAAGGCACCAAGCAGAGGTGAAATGCACAGAGTGGGAGATGCTGATTTGTGAGATGGGAGGGGGGGAGATGAGACTGTGCAGGGAGGCCAGACAGGGAAAAGTCCAGCCAAATCACGAGGTGTGAGCTTTTTCTTTAGGGAACATTGAAGCTTTCTGAGTAGAGGAGTATTTGTTTTCTCAAAAATACTTTTGATGATCAGTGATTTTGACCTTTGGAGGGGACATTTGGCAATGTCCAGAGACATTTTTTTATTGTCACAACGGGTGAGGTGCCACTGGTACCTAGTGGGTATAGGCCTGGGATCCTATAATGCACCAGGACAAAGAGCTGTCTGGTCCAAGATGTCAGTCGTGCTGAGTTGAGAAACCCTGGTGTAGAGGAAGGATGGGGGATCAGACAGCTGTGAGATGTGAACTTAACAGTTCAGGGGAGAGACAACCCAAGCCTAGGTCATGACAAGTGATAACGGTGATGGAAGGAAATAGACAAATAGGAGAGATAATGAGGATTTTCTTAGTCCCTGGCTGATTGATATACCGGGAGAGGAAAAGGGAAGAACACATTTCTGGCTTGAGCGACTGTGCGGATGGAAGAGTCATCAGAGAGGGATTTGGAATGATCATGACTTTAGTTTTGGACACAGGTTGGATTTAAGGTGCCTGTGAGGACATCCAAGTGGAGATGTTGAGCAGGCACCTAACGAGTTTGGAGCTCAGAGAAGTGATCTGGGTCAAAGTATAGACAATGATCAGAGCCACAGAAGTAGAAGAGAAGACCCTAAGCAAGTGTGTAGCGTGAGAAAAGGCCAGGGAGAGATTCCAGGAAACACAAACTTGTAACAACGGGCAGAGTAAGGGGAGGTCAAAGGAAGATGGGGGGGAGGGAGGGAAACCGGAAAGCGTAGTGTCAAGAAGTCAAAGTGGGAGAAACACCTGGGAAGGAGGTCAGGATGGGCTGGTGCAGTACGTTGGTGGTCTGTTAGGAGATTCTGAGAGTTCACAGATAAGGGTCTTTTATTTTCTTCCTGAAGTAATGCATTTGATGAGAGGTTTGGGTGGATTAGTTACAGCTTTGGGGAGAGATTGCTGGGCAGCAGGGCGGAGAGCCTGCTGAAATGCAGATTGTGCATTTGTAGCAGAACCTCTGAGCAGGGCCTGCAGAGGCTGGGAAATTCACCTCTGCCTTCGTCATTTCCAGTCAATGGCTGCTGCGCCTTCTGGGGTCAGTTCCTGACAACTTCCCCTGACCACTATTTATTGCTTTCTTCCTGCAGCGAGTCAGAGGGCAAAGGTCTTTCACAGCTTCTGGGGATGGTGCCGCAGCTGTGCCGCAGCCTGCAGGCTTGGTGCGGGGGAAGTCTGTCTCCTGGGATATCGGGCCCCCGGCCACAGTAACGAGTTGGAGCGGGAGCTGTTTCCAGGGTCCAGCCATGGCAGGGTCTCAGTGTCTCTCCGGAGGGTGAACAATGGCACAAATCATTTCTGTCGAGGGCCCAAGCAACCATTAGAAGTCCTTGGCCAGCCTTCTCCCTGAGCTGCAACATTTTCTGGCTCGGGGAGGGGAACTCTCCAGCTTCCTTTTACAGCATGTCGTGACCCTGAGGCCCTCGGTTCCACAAAGAGCACTTTGTCACAGGCTACCGCCGTCGGCACCCGTTAGCCCACTATTGAGGCCCTAATGTGCACCCATGATATAAAAGTCAGTTTGAAAGAAGTTTTTGTTGTAAGGCAGGGCCATCAGAATGTCCGTTTACTCAATGAACAAACACACGTAGAGGACTGAGGGTGTGCCTGGCCTCTCCTGGCCTTGGGGCTCCCAGAATGGTTTCTCCTGCTGATCCAGCTCTGAAATGTTCAGAGGCTCCTGATATCGGTGTCCAATCACTCAATTGTTTCAGTCTGGGAGGTTATCAAGAATTAACCAGGAAAGCCTTGCCCTATTTCTTAGTTTTGGAGAGCCCCTACATCTGAATGACTTCAGTATTGGACTTGCAATATAGACCTGCAATTCTCCGCCCACCACTTCCAATGAAGTTTGCTTGCAAAGTGAAAGGGGAGCTAAAGTTGCATGAGCCACAACCATAAAAATCTATAGAGCAGACCCTGATCACTTCAGTCATCAAATTCCAGTATCAATCAGATCTCATTCTGTGATGACCAAACTCAGTAAAGAGTGGCCCTATGACGTCAGCCTCTGTGGTTTTATCAGTCAGCCAGTTCTCTGAGTGGAGTGATGATGATACTTGGTGATGCTATTCACTCCCTGGGACCCACCAGGAATTTGCAGGCTCTTCTTCGTGAGTAAAATTGGTCCTCATTCTCTGCAGATTTCATGTCTGTCAGTTTGCTGACTCTCCAAAATGTAGGTGTGACCCTAAAATCAATCCTTGTGGAACTTCTGCAGTCATTCTTGGACGTGGGCAGAGTGATGAAAAACTCAAGTGACCTAACGCACACAGTTTCAGCTGCGGCTGAACACAGCCAGGCTCTGCCTTCACGATTCAGTTCTTATCCTGTAAACAAGAGTCCTTCATGCAGTCTGTTTAGTGCCAGGTTTTTTTTTTTTTGCATTTTTGTGCTTTTTGTGGATGATTTTGCTGTTTAAAGTGGTCCCCAGGTGTGGTGCTGAAGTGCTGTCTAGTGTTCCTAAGCACAAGAGGGCTGTGATGTGCCTTATGGAGAAAACAGTGTGTGTGTTCTGTTTAACTTAGTTCAGATAAGAGTTATAGTGTCATTGGCCATGTGTTCAATGTTAACAAATCAATATATATATGGGTGGTATATGGCTATATATATATAGCCAGCGACTAGAACACAGGAATGACGCAACGACTTGAATGACCCGTCACTATGACGCCTACTGCACCTGGCCAACCAGCTCGATCGATTGATCAATTGGAGGCCGGCTGGCCAACCTCCTGCATCTCCTTCCCCTCCTCCTCCCACCTCCTCCCTCCCTCTGCTGGCCCAGCGTCATAGGCCCACATCGGGGCGGGTCAGATGAACCCCACCTGCGCATGAATTTGTGCACCAAGCCTCTAGTAATATATTTATATTAAGTTTAGTATCTTTAAACAGAAACACATATAAAACAAGGTTATGTTTTGCCAAGCTGACAAAAATATTATGACAAGAGGCTCACAGGAACCTCACCAAGGCAGAGTGTTTTGGTGTATGTCCTACTAATTCCCTCTGTGTGTCCACCATCTAGAGACTCTGAGCTCCCAGTGGCTCAGGGCCTGCTCCTCCTAATTGCCATGTATCTCTGGCTCTTCTGGCCAAAAAACATATGGCAACACTCACCCCTCCCGCAGGTGACAGCCACAGATGCAGACAGCGGCCCGTTTGGCCTCCTCTCCTATTCCCTGGGTGCCGGGCTCGGGGCCTCAGGGGCTCCCCCTTTCCGCATTGATGCCCACAGTGGTGACGTGTGCACGACTCAGACCCTGGACCGCGACCAGGGGCCCTCAAGCTTCGACTTCACGGTGACGGCTGTGGATGGGGTGAGTGGGCAGGCCGGGGGCAGGGAGAGACACTGGGATAGAGCGCTCACCGGGGCCAGGTAAAGCCCTCCTAACGTACGGCTGCCTATCTCACCAGGGAGGCCTCAAGTCCATAGTGTATGTGAAGGTGTTCGTGTCAGACGAGAATGATAACCCGCCTCAGTTCTATCCACGGGAGTATGCGACCAGCCTGAGCGCCCAGAGCCCACCGGGCACGGCTGTGCTGAGAGTGCGCGCTCATGACCCCGACCAGGGGCCCCATGGGCGGCTCGCCTACCACATCCTGGCTGGCAACAGCCCCCCACTCTTTGCCTTGGACGAGCACTCAGGTGAGGATCCTTCTCTACCCAGGGTTTATCCCACACCCCTTTCCCACTGGCCTACATGAAGCACTGCCCCCCTTTCCGCTCTGTCGTTTCCTTATACATGTCTGCTTTCTCTCTCTCTCTCTCTCTCCCCAGGGCTGCTGACAGTAGCGTGGCCCTTGGCCAGGCAGGTCAACTCTGTGGTGCAGCTGGAGATTGGGGCTCAGGATGGCGGTGGCCTGAAGGCAGAGCCCAGTGCCCGCGTCAACATCAGCATTGTGCCTGGTACCCCCATACCGCCCATATTTGAACAACTGCAGTATGTCTTTTCGGTGCCAGAGGATGTGGCACCCGGCACTAGTGTGGGCATAATCCAGGCACACAACCCACCAGGTATCATTCATCATTAGTCCCACTTAGCGCCATCCCCAGACACCCCGATATAACCCTCGGTCTCCATCGCAGGGTACCCCGAAAGAGCCCAAATACAAAACACTCTGGTTCCAATTCCCAACACCTTCCTGGGCAGGTGCAGGCACTCTGCTTCATCCTCAGGCACGTGACGATCACCCTGCTGCCATCAGTTTCTCTGCCAACGCCTGCCCCGCCCCCCTATTGCTTTGAAAGGCACAGGAGTGAGCATTGTGAAACCCCTCTTGGGATCAGAGTCTGGTCCCCCCATCTCTCTTCTGACCGCTCTCTCCTCCCTAGGTCGCTTGGGGCCAGTGACCCTCGCCCTCTCCGGTGGGGACCCCCGAGGACTCTTCTCCCTGGATGGGGCCTCGGGGCTGTTACAGACGCTTCGCCCTCTGGACCGGGAGCTGCTGGGGCCGGTGCTGGAGCTGGAGGTGCGGGCAAGCAGTGGAGCGCCCCCAGCTTTCACCGTGGCTCGGGTGCGTGTGCTGCTGGATGATGTGAATGACAATTCCCCGGCGTTCCCCGCACCCGAAGACACAGTATTGCTGCCACCAAGCACCGCCCCGGGGACCCTCGTCTACACCCTGCGCGCTCTGGACCCAGACTCGGGCGTTAACGGTCGAGTCACCTTTAACCTTCTTGCCGGAGGTGACGGGGTCTTCACCGTGGACCCCCCCACGGGCCACGTACGGCTTATAGGACCTCTGGGGGCCCCAGGGGGCCCAGCGCATGAACTAGACCTGGAAGCCCGGGATGGAGGCTCCCCGCCCCGCACCAGCCCCTTTCGACTGCGGGTGGTGGTGCAGGACTTGGTGGCCCGTGGGCTGGCTCCCCACTTCGACAGCCCTACCTACCGCGTGGACCTGCCCTCCGGCACCACCCCTGGAACGCAGGTTCTGCAAGTGAAGGCTCGAGCGCCTGATGGGGGCGCTGTCACCTACCACCTAGCAGGAGATGGGCCAAGCAGCCCTTTCGGCCTGGAGCCACAGAGTGGGTGGCTGTGGGTGCGGGCAGCCCTGGACCGTGAGTCCCAGGAGTTGTACACACTAAAGGTAATGGCAGTGTCTGGGTCCAAAGCCGAGTTGGGGCAGCAGACGGGCACGGCCACCGTGAGGGTCAGCGTCCTCAATCAGAATGACCACAGCCCCCGCCTGTCCGAGGAGCCCACGTTCCTGGCCGTGGCAGAGAACCAGCCCCCAGGGACCAGCGTGGGCCGGGTCTATGCCAGTGACCGAGACTCGGGACCCAACGGACGCCTGACCTACAGCCTACGACAGATGTCGGAAGACAGCAAGGCCTTCCGCATCCACCCCCAGACCGGTGAGTACTGGCACCCAAATTCGGAGGCCAGGGTAGCCTCATCCTCAGATCGGTGGAAGCATCAGACAGGATTCTCCAGAGTCTGGTCGTGAAGACCAACCAGCACTCAGCTTGGGAGTTTCACCCTGGGTTTCCCTCCCACGCTCCCCCAAGCCCCAGCTTCTCTGCCTCATCCTCAGCCTCTGGCTCTGCATCCCCAGCTATCTCATGCGTGCCCCCTCTCCCGCACTCCCAGGAGAAGTGACCACCCTCCACACCCTGGACCGCGAGCGGCAGAGCAGCTACCAGCTCCTGGTGCGGGTGCAGGACGGGGGCAGCCCACCCCGCAGCACCACAGGCACCGTGCACATCGCCGTGCTCGACCTCAACGACAACAGCCCCACCTTCCTGCAGGCTTCCGGGGCTGCTGGCGGGGGCCTCCCTGTGCAGGTATGTGACGGGGGAGGACTCTTGTCTGGATGAAGTGAGAAGGAATGGGCGTCTCCCCATAAAGCTGTAGGTGTAGGTAAGAGAGATGCTTTTTGGAACAAGTGTGAGAGCAAAAAAGGGGGCTCTGTCTGCACACAGGTGAGGGGGACTCCAACCTGGGTTGTCTCAAGAACAGAAAAGAGACAACCATAGGCAAACTGTGTGTCCCCACAGGTACCAGACCGAGTGCCTCCAGGGACGCTGGTGACGACTCTGCAGGCCAAGGACCCGGATGAAGGGGAGAATGGGACCATCCTGTACACACTGACTGGTATGGGGGTGGAGAGAAGTGGGTATGGCACACCCTGGTGACCTGCCCAGCTCTGGGAGCCAGGCCCTCACCCTTCCACTGCCTATCCCCAGGTCCCGGCTCAGAGCTCTTCTCTCTGCACCCTCACTCAGGGGAGCTGCTCACCGCAGCACCCCTGATCCGAGCAGAGCGGCCCCACTATGTGCTGACGCTGAGTGCCCATGACCAAGGCAGCCCTCCTCGGAGTTCCAGCCTCCAGCTGCTGGTGCAGGTATGCCTCCCTTCCTCCCCCCTCCTCCCCCCCACTCACAATCTGGCCACTTGGCCACTGCTGTGGACCCACTCCCAATAGCTCCACCTTCATTGTGTCCTTTTCCCCTCTCCTAAGGCTACTCTGAGCACCCTTCCTGCTGCCTACCCATGGGCAAACCCAGACCCCCTTTCACACGGGTCCCCCTGCTTTCTTCCTCCTGTCTCCATCCACAACAGGTGCTCCCCTCCGCTCACTCGGCTGAGCCTCCACCGGATCCTTCAGAGCCGGACCCAGCGGCACCCGTGCCCGTCGTGCTGACGGTGACAGCGGCCGAGGGGCTGCAGCCGGGCTCCCTGCTGGGCTCGGTGGCGCCGCCTGAGCCGGCGGCGGGCGTGGGACCGCTCACCTACACCCTGGTGGGCGGCGCGGACCCGGAGGGCACCTTCGCGCTGGAGGCGGCCTCGGGGCGCCTGTACCTGGCGCGGCCGCTGGACTTCGAGGCCGGCCCGGCGTGGCGCGCGCTCACGGTGCGCGCCGAGGGCCCGGGCGGCGCGGGCGCGCGGCTGCTGCGCGTGCAGGTGCGCGTGCAGGACGAGAACGAGCACGCGCCGGCCTTCGCGCGCGACCCTCTGGCGCTGGCGCTGCCGGAGAACCCGGACCCGGGCGCCGCGCTGTACACCTTCCGCGCCTCGGACGCTGACGGGCCGGGCCCCAACAGCGACGTGCGCTACCGCCTGCTGCGCCAGGAGCCGCCCGCGCCCGCGCTGCGCCTGGACGCGCGCACCGGGGCGCTGAGCGCGCCGCTCGGGCTGGACCGCGAGGCCACGCCCGCGCTGCTGCTGCTGGTGGAGGCCTCCGACCGGCCCGCCAACGCCAGCCGCCGCCGCACGGCGCGCGTGTCGGCGCGCGTCTTTGTCACCGACGAGAACGACAACGCGCCGGTCTTCGCCTCGCCCTCGCGCGTGCGCCTCCCCGAGGACCAGCCGCTCGGGCCCGTGGCGCTGCACGTGGTGGCCCGGGACCCGGACCTGGGCGAGGCCGCGCGCCTCACCTACCGCCTGGCCGCGGGCGGGGACGGCTACTTCCGGCTGCACTCCAGCACCGGTGAGTGGTGTCGTCCCGGGTGGCCAAGGGCGAGGAGGGGGGGATGCCAAGGGGATGCGGAGGGTTCCTTCCAACCCGCCCTGCTGATCGCCTAGGGGCGCTGTCCCTGGTGCGGCCCCTGGACCGGGAGCATCGAGCCGAGCACCTCCTGACCGTGGTGGCCACCGACCACGGCTCCCCGCCGCGCTCCGCCACGCAGCTCCTCACGGTCAGTGTGGCTGATGTCAACGACGAGGCACCGGCTTTCCAGCAGCAGGAGTACAGCGTCCTCTTGCGGGAGAACAGCCCGCCTGGCACATCTCTGCTCACTCTGCGGGCAACCGACCCGGACCTGGGTAAGACCTTGTGGGGTGTGGGAGTTGAGAGAGGGATGGACTAGGGCCTAGGGCAAGAAAGGAATACATATATATAATGTGTATGTGTGTGTGTATATCTGTGTGTGTGTGTGTGTGTGTGTGTATAATCACACTCCATGCTGCCCCTCCTCAGGGGCCAATGGGCAGGTGACCTATGGAGGCATCTCTGGCGATAGCTTCTCCCTGGACCCAGACACTGGAGTTCTCACGACTCTTCGGGCCCTGGATCGGGAGGAACAGGAGGAGATCAACCTGACAGGTACACATTGACAGGACCCTGAAAACCTGAGAGGTGTTGTAATCCCCAGTGTTACATAAGCAAAACCCCCAATTACCTTCTAGAAGTTTCCATCCATTACAGCACAGCTTCTGGTACATTTTTAAAAATATATATTTTATTGATTTTTTACAGAGAGGAAGGGAGAGGGATAGAGAGCTAGAAACATCGATGAGAAAGAGACATCAATCAGCTGCCTCCTGCACATCCCCTACTGGGGATGTGCCCGCAACCAATGTACATGTCCTTGACCGGAATCGAACCTAGGACCTTTCAGTCCGCAGACCGACGCTCTATCCACTGAGCCAAACCGGTTTCGGCCTGTTACATTTTTTTTTTTTAATCCTTCAGCGGTTTGACAGAGTGCAAGGTGCCAACTGATTCTAGGCTGTCACCAGTGTGACACAAACTCAAATGCATCATGTCACAGCTATGCCCTCTAGGATTCCTGCAGATCAGACTGCAGACATTTCACAGAGGAGCATATTTGAGTATCTAAGAGGTGAACTGACTTGCTCAAGCTAACACAGCTTGAAAGGGGCAAAGCTGGAACTTGAACCCAGATCTTTTGATACCGTATTTAATGTCACACCACTGCTACATCTTGCATGTACCAAGCATGGGGGGTGAGAAGAAAGTAGCATCTCTGAAACCTGTGTATCTGCGTGTGCATGTCCACATGTAGGCACCTATGTGCTTGTGGGGCGTAGAGAGATGGACATTGTCTGTTTTGTGTGTGCACCTGGTAAACGCGTGTGAACACCGTGCGATATGGATTTCTCCGTGAGATGGGAGCACACTAGAGCTCATTGATTTTCCTTCCTCATAGTGTATGCCCGAGACAGGGGATCACCTCCGCTGTTGACCCACGTCACCGTACGAGTGGCTATAGAGGATGAGAATGACCATGCGCCAACCTTTGGGAGTGCCCATCTCTCCCTGGAAGTGCCCGAGGGCCAGGACCCCCAGACCCTCACCACGCTGCGGGCTTCTGACCCAGATGTGGGAGCAAATGGGAAGTTGCAGTACCGCATCCTGGGTGAGAACCATGTACTCCATGTTGGCCTATGTCAGACTCAGTCATTGTGTCAGGGTCTCCTTTTCCTTCTCCTTATGTATTCTTCTTACCACTCCCCCTCCCCCGTGCATGTATCTTTGTCTCTCCGTGTCTCCTGTGCTTCTTCAGCTCTTTATCTCCCTCTATGACTCTTATTTTTAACTATGCATCTATTTCTTTCTTGTCTGTCCCTTTAGAGCAATAGTTGCTCTCAAACATTTTAGTCTTGGGAACCCTTAACATGCTTAATTTTTAAAAAAGAAATGGTGCTTTTTAAAAATATGTTTTTATTTGTTGTTGTTTTTTAGAGAGAGAAGAAAGATGAGGGATAGAAGGATGAATAGAAACAGAAACCTGGAGGAGAGAGAAACATCATTAATTGGCTGCTTCCTGTACGCCCCCTCTGGGGATCCAGCCTGCAACCCAGGCATGTGCCCTGACCAGAATCTAATCCAAGACCTCTTGGTTCCTGGGTCAACGCTCAACTGCTGAGCCACACCAGCTGGGCAACATGCGTAATATTCAAGATCCCCTGAAAAGCTTTTATTTATATGATAAAATTGTGTGATACAACATTGTAATAAATATGTAATATAAACATATACATTTATCAATGTTATATATTAAAGCTAAGAAGATATAAAATATTGCAAAGCAAGCCAATGAAGTGTACTACTTGACATATTTCTGCATAGGCACATGTTAGGGTTTCAAATAACAGTCTGTTGGATAGTAATGAGGTTGCAAAGATTATAACAGGTATAAATGAAGATAAACCAGCAAAAACGTAATGAATCTCTGAACATGTTTATATCCTAAACTTTCTACCTAGAATATTCCAGAAAACACAAGAAACATATCAGCACACATTCCATTAACCATCCAAGTGATGATGTCATAACATATACCATCTGGACTCCACACTACATTGTGAGATAATGAGAATGAAAAAGGCATTTAATGTCTTAGTATTGCTATGAAAATAGTTCTGATCTTATGTACTCTCATGAAAGGGTCTTAGCAGAATACTAGAGGTCCCCAGAATACACTCTTAAGATCAGCTGTTTTATAGTAAGGTATTTCTTCACCTTCTGTGTTTATCTTTGTTTCTCTGTCTTTCTCCCAATTTCTTTCTCTTTCTCTTTCTTTTTCTCTTTGTCTCTTGTTTCTCCTTCTCCTCTCTCCCTCTCTTCTCTCTCCCTCCCATCTTATCTCATTCTTTGCTGTTGCCTATAAATCAGTCCCTCTCCCATGGGCTGATACATGTATGTTTATGTGTGTATGCCCTTCTCTGCAGATGGGGACCCATCAGGAGCCTTTGTCCTAGATCTAGCCTCTGGGGAGTTTGGTACCATGAGACCACTGGACCGAGAGGTGGAACCAGCTTTCCAGCTGCGGATAGAGGCTCGGGATGGAGGCCAGCCTGCTCTCAGCGCCACTCTGCTGGTGACAGTGACAGTGCTGGATGCCAATGACCATGCCCCAGCCTTTCCTGTGCCCGCCTACTCCGTGGAGGTGCCTGAGGATGCCCCTACAGGAACTCTGCTGTTGCAGCTACAGGCTCACGACCCTGATGCTGGGGCCAATGGCCATGTGACCTACTACCTGGGTGCAGGGGCAGCAGGAGCCTTCCTGCTGGAGCCCAGCTCCGGGGAGCTGCGTACAGCCACCGCCCTAGATAGAGAGCAGTGTTCCAGCTATTCCTTCTCCGTGAGTGCGGTGGACGGTGCAGCCGCTGGGCCCCTGAGCACCACGGTGCCCGTCACCATCACAGTGCGCGATGTCAATGACCATGCGCCCACTTTCCCCTCCAGTCCCCTGAGGCTGCGCCTGCCCCGCCCAGGCCCCAGCCTCAGCACCCCGACCCTGGCTCTGGCCACTCTGCGAGCCGAAGACCGTGACGCTGGTGCGAATGCCTCCATCCTCTATAGGCTGGCGGGCACACCGCCTCCCGGCACCACCGTGGACTCCTACACTGGTGAAATCCGTGTGACCCGCTCCCCCGTAGGCCTGGGCCCCCGGGAGCGTGTCCTCTTCATCGTGGCCACTGACCTTGGCCGTCCTGCTCGCTCTGCCACCGGTGTGGTCATTGTGGGGCTGCAGGGGGAGTCTGAACGTGGACCCCGCTTCCCTCGTGCTAGCGGCGAAGCTGTGCTCCGTGAGAATGCACCCCCAGGTGGGTCCCAACCGCGTCTCCCAGCCTTGTATCTCTGCATGGGCTGGAGTTACTAAAAATGGCCCCCAGCCTCCCTCAATCTAGTGCTTACAGTCCAACCAATACCATCCTCTCTGCAGGGACTCCCATTGCCTCCCCTAAGGCTGTCCACACGGGGGGCTCAAATGGACCAATCACCTACAGCATTCTCAGTGGGAATGAGAAAGGGACATTCTCCATCCAGCCTAACACAGGTAAGGGGCAGGAGCAGGGGGCTCTGTGAAGGGCCAGGCTCCTGGAGGAGCTCCCCTTTGGGCCCAAGGAGACTCGGGGGTTTGGAGGATGGGCTGCACGTGAGTACGTGAGGCCTCAGAGAGGAAGGCTCCAGGGCAAGGAAGGGGCATTCAGTGATGCATTCTGCCTTCTCCCAGGAGCCATCACAGTTCGCTCAGCAGAGGGGCTGGACTTTGAGGCAAACCCACGGATGAGACTAGTGCTGCAGGCAGAGAGCGGAGGAGCCTTTGCTTTCTCCGTGCTGACCCTGGCCCTGCAAGATGCCAATGACAATGCCCCCCGCTTCCTGCAGCCCCACTACGTGGCCTTTCTGCCTGAATCCAGGCCCTTGGAGGGGCCCCTGCTGCAGGTATGGGATGTGATGGGAAGATGGAGGGAGGGCTGGTCAGACTCGTCTGTGCCCAGGCCAGTGCCAGCAGCCTCCTACTTCCACCAGGTGGAAGCCGATGACCTGGACCAAGGCCCCAGTGGACAGATCTCCTACAGTCTGGCTGCATCCCAGCCAGCACGGGGACTGTTTCATGTAGACCCAGTCTCGGGCGCCATCACGACCACAGCCATCCTGGACCGTGAGATCTGGGCGGAAACACGGTGAGCCCGGGCTCTGTAGACCCCGTGACCCCATCCTGGGTCCACCCAACTTCAAGTCCCTCCTTGAATCCCCCTCAATATTCCTAGGCCACATCCTGAGCCTCCCTAGCCCTGCCCGGTGTTCTCCCTCATCCCCGGACTCCTCCCCCAATTGTGCTCCACCCGACTATGTCCAGGCTGGTGCTCATGGCCACCGACCGAGGAAGCCCAGCCCTGGTGGGCTCAGCTACCCTGACGGTGATGGTCATCGACACCAACGACAACCGACCCACCATCCCCCAGCCCTGGGAGCTCCAAGTATCTGAAGGTGAGGGCTGGGTAAAGTCAGAGGTACAGAGGGTGGTATAGGGTGGCACCGTTCCCCGCTCTGGGGCTCCAGAGGCGTCGTGGACCATGCCAAACACATTTGCCCCGCGTCATTGCAGATGCACTGTTGGGCTCGGAGATCGCACAGGTCACAGGGAATGACGTGGACTCCGGCCCGGTGCTGTGGTACGTGCTGAGCTCCTCCGGACCCCAGGATCCCTTCAGCGTCGGCCGCTACGGAGGCCGTGTCTCCCTCACGGGCCCCTTGGACTTTGAGCAGTGTGACCGCTACCACCTGCAGCTGCTGGCGCACGATGGGCCTCACGAGGGCCGCGCCAACCTCACCGTGCTCGTGGAGGACGTCAACGACAACGCACCTGTCTTCTCACAGAGCCTCTACCAGGTACCTGTGTCCCTGGGTGCCCCCACACCCAGACCCAGGTTGGTTGGTGCTGGAGAGAAGTGAGGAGGCTGGACGTGTTGTTTGAGATTGGCTGGACCTTAGAATTGACCTGGGGATGGAGCTCCACGGGGAAGGGGGAGAGGTCCCATCTCAAACCAGCCTTGCAAGTCGTGGGAACTGTATCCAGGTTCTTTGCCCCACGCCCCAAAATGGGGAAAGGTGGACAATTCAAGTATTAAGGAGTAGGGGCTCCAAGCTGGAATGGATACCCAGTACGGTTCCTGGGACCAGCCTCCAGAACACAGGCCGAATGGACAGCAGGGCAGCGTGGCCGTAAACGTTTGTCCTCACACCTCAGGTGACGCTGCTGGAACACACGCCCCCAGGCAGTGCCATTCTCTCCGTCTCTGCCACCGACCGGGACTCGGGAGCCAATGGTCACGTCTCCTACCACCTGGCTTCCCCCGCTGAGGGCTTCAGTGTTGACCCCAACAATGGTGCGTCCCGCCCCCCCCCCCAGGTCTGACCCTGTGTCCTTGACTGTGTTGGTCCCTATTCTGACCTCCTTCCTACAATTTCTTGTCTGAAATCTTAACTCCTAGATCTCGTACCCAAGGAGGACATTTTCCCTCCTTTGTCTCTATTTTAATCCCCGTCCTGGCTGCATGTCTAGAAGCTGTTTCCTGAATCCTGGAGGCCATCCCATAATCTCCCAGCACACGGGCTTAGTCCCTGGAGTCTGACTTCTGGGGCCATAGCCTGGGCCCTGAAGGGTCACTTGCTCTGTCCACCCATAGTTTCTGCTGAACTCATGTTTCTCTCCGTTCCCTTCTCACCTCAGGGACCTTGTTCACGACAACGGGAGCAGTGGCTTTGAGCCACGAGGGGCTAGGAGCGGTGGACGTGGTGCTGGAAGCTCGAGATCACGGGCTGCCGGGCCGGGCGGCCCGGGCCACGGTGCATGTACAGCTGCAGGACCAGAACGACCACGCCCCAAGCTTCACATTGCCGCACTACCGTGTGGCGGTGACCGAGGACCTGCCCCCCGGCTCCACCCTGCTCACCCTGGAGGCCACCGACGCTGACGGGAGCCGCACGCATGCCGCCGTGGACTACAGCATTGTCAGTGGCAACCGGGGCCGCGTCTTCCAGCTGGAACCCCGCCTCGCTGAAGCTGGGGAGGGCGGCGGGCGAGGCCCCCAGGCGCTGGGGTGCCTGGTGTTGCTTGAGCCTCTAGACTTTGAAAGCTTAACCCAGTATAACCTCACCGTGGCGGCAGCTGACCGGGGACAGCCGCCTCGCAGCTCGGCCGTGCCGGTAACCGTCACCGTGCTGGACGTCAACGACAACCCGCCCGTCTTCTCCCGGGCGTCCTACCGCGTGGCCGTGTCCGAGGACACGCCCGCCGGAGCCGAGCTGCTGCGCGTGGAGGCCTCCGACGCTGACCCCGGCCCCCACGGCCTCGTGCGCTTCACCCTCAGCTCGGGCGACCCCGCCGGGCTCTTCGAGCTGGATGCGAGCTCGGGCGCCCTGCGGCTGGCCCGGCCCTTGGACTGTGAGACCCAGGCTCGGCATCAGCTTGTGGTGCAGGCCGCGGACCCTGCGGGGGCCCACTTCGCTCTGGCGCCGGTGACCGTCGAGGTCCAGGACGTGAACGACCACGGCCCAGCCTTCCCTCTGAGCTTGCTCAGCACCAGCCTGGCGGAGAACCAGCCTCCCGGCACCCTCGTGACCACGCTGCACGCGCTGGATGGGGACGCCGGGGCCTTCGGGAGGCTCCGCTACACCCTGTTGGAGGCTGGCCCCGGGCCTGAGGGACGGGAGGCCTTTGCCCTGAACAGCTCGACCGGGGAGCTGCGGGCACGGGTGGCCTTTGACTACGAGCACACAGGAAGCTTCCAGCTGCTGGTGGGTGCTGCCGACGCCGGGAACCTCTCCGCCTCCGTCACGGTGTCCGTGCTGGTGACTGGCGAGGATGAGTATGACCCCGTGTTCCTGGCGCCGGCGTTCCACTTCCAAGTGCCGGAAGGTGCCCGGCGTGGCCACAGCCTGGGTCACGTGCAGGCCACGGATGAGGACGGGGGTGCCGACGGCCTGGTGCTCTACTCCCTCGCCACCTCTTCTCCCTACTTTGGTATCAACCAGACTACAGGTGCCCTGTACCTGCGGGTGGACAGCCGAGCGCCGGGCGGCGGGACAGGCCCCTCCGGGGGCGGGGGCCGCACCCGGCGTGAGGCACCCCGGGAGCTGAGGCTGGAAGTGGTGGCGCGGGGGCCTCTGCCTGGCTCGAGGAGCGCCACAGTGCCGGTGACCGTGGATATCACCCACACGGCGCTGGGCCTGGCACCCGACCTCAACCTGCTCCTGGTGGGGGCCGTGGCAGCCTCCCTGGGGGTGGTGGTGGTGCTTGCGCTGGCAGCCCTGGTCCTGGGGCTGGTGCGGGCCCGTAACCGCAAGGCCGAGGCGGCGCCTGGCCCCATGTCCCAGGCGGCACCCCTAGCCAGCGGCTCCCTGCAGAAGCTGGGCCGGGAGCCGCCCAGCCCGCCGCCCTCCGAGCACCTGTACCACCAGACTCTCCCCAGCTACGGCGGGCCAGGAGCGGGAGGCCCCTACCCGCGGGGCGGCTCCCTGGACCCCTCGCACTCGAGCGGCCGGGGCTCCGCAGAGGCTGCGGAGGACGACGAGATCCGCATGATCAACGAGTTCCCCCGCGTGGCCAGCGTGGCCTCCTCCCTCGCCGCCCGCGGCCCCGACTCGGGCATCCAGCAGGATGCAGACGGACTGAGCGACACGTCCTGCGAGCCGCCTGCCCCCGACAGCTGGTATAAGGGCCGGAAGGCAGGGCTGCTGCTGCCAGGCGCAGGCGCCGCTCTGTACCGGGAGGAGGGACCCCCAGCCACTGCCACGGCCTTCCTGGGGGGATGTGGCCTGAGCCCTGCGCCCACTGGGGACTATGGCTTCCCAGCCGATGGCAAGCCGTGCGTGGCGGGCGCGCTGACGGCCATCGTGGCCGGCGAGGAGGAGCTCCGCGGCAGCTACAACTGGGACTACCTGCTGAGCTGGTGCCCTCAGTTCCAGCCGTTGGCCAGTGTGTTCACAGAGATCGCCCGGCTCAAGGATGAGGCGCGGCCGTGCCCCCCGGCGCCCCGTATTGACCCGCCGCCCCTCATCACTGCCGTGGCTCACCCCGGAGCCAAGTCTGTGCCTCCCAAGCCAGCCAGCACAGCCGCAGCCCGGGCCATCTTCCCGCCGGCCTCTCACCGCTCCCCCATCAGCCACGAAGGCTCCCTGTCCTCAGCCGCCATGTCCCCCAGCTTCTCGCCCTCACTGTCCCCTCTGGCTGCCCGCTCGCCCGTCGTCTCGCCGTTTGGGGTGGCCCAGGGCCCCTCAGCCTCAGCACTTAGCGCAGAGTCCGGCCTGGAGCCACCGGATGACACGGAGCTGCACATCTAGCTGTGGCCCGGGCTGGGCCCCGACCTGGGACACGCACAGTGTCCCCAACGCAGGCCCCCTCTGAGCCTGCCCCGGGCAGCCTCGGACCACGATTGGCCACAGGGGAGACCCGCCCCCGCCCCGTCCCAAATTTCCCCGTGGGAACAGGTCGTACGGCTCACCCCGGCCCCATCAGAGCACCACCAGCACAGAGGCCCTGTGGGCACTAACCCGTGGCCAGGTGCAGTGTGGGGAGACACGTGAAGGAGGCAGCAGCCCTGGTTCTCCTCAGCGAGGGCTTCCTGCCCTGTGCCAGCACCCTGAGATGGAGCTGAGACTTTATTTATTGGGGGGTAGGGGGGATGGGGGAGGTCCTCCAACCTGTTTGGGCCCTTTGGGTTCCACTGACACCCCTTCCCCTTGCCCAGAACCAAGTGCCAATTCTCACTCTGGAGCCTTAATAAACTGCAGTTTGTACCCAGCGTCCGGCTCAGTTCTGTGGGGGCCAGAGGGACTGGAAGGCACTGAGCACACTGTGGACACCTCCGGGGGCACAGAGGGGTGGTAGACACGGGGGTATCCGGGGTGGGGGTGCCACTGGGAGCCAGCTCTCTGCAGTCTATCTTTCCCTCTAACAGGCAGCAGGCCAGGAAGAAGGCAGACGGTGACCCAGAGAGAGGCTGGATAGGTGAGGAGAGAGCTTAGGGATGATCAGCTCTAGGCCTTAGGATCTTCAAGGAGGTGGGGTGCATACAGGAGCAACCAAGTGGTGTAGAGGTTTTCTTGGGGCCGCTATACCCTTGTAACAGGACTCAAATGTGTTGAGCCTTTGCCATCAGACTTCTGAGGGATTTGCCTGTTTCATCTGTAAGATTTATTGCAACCCTATGAGACAGGCCACTTTTAATATTTAAGTTTATATTCTAAATGAGGTTAGGTGGGTTGTTTTCCTGATAGACAGCTAGGAAGGGCCCGGGTCTTTGGGTCTGTGGGCCTAGGGCTCCTTTCTTAGGCCCCCCTGTACCCTCTGGTGAGTCGCGGTGGAATCCCAGTAGGAGGAAACGGGGCCAAAGCCAGGGCTAGATGGGCCGGATCCCGAGAATTCAAGCGGCAGCCCCGCCCATTCCCCCCCCCAGCTTTCAGGACCGCCCACTTGGGGGAGGAGCCACACGTCACTAGTTTCTAGGCTGAGGGGTGGTAGACTTTACGGTCCATGTGATCTGTCACATGACAGCAGACCTGCTAAGGGACGGAATGAGACTCGGAGCCTGGTAAGAAATGGGGGAGGCCTAGGGGACGGGGATCCTGTTGGAGGGAATGCATGTTGGAGGGTGGGGAGACCATCACAACCCAGTTGCCGATGAAACCCACCTGCCATCCCTGCAGCCTCCTAGGGCTCTTAGCCCTCTTCGGCGTGGGCAAATGCACTTACAGCCCGGAACCCGACCAGCAGCGCACGTGAGTTGATTCAGCACGAGCTCCCCTTCCCCGTGTGCCCTGTCCTGCACCCACTGCCCTGTTCCTCCCCTCGCTCACCCCCTTACCAGCTCCTGGCATTCACTCCGGAGTCTCACCCCCAGGTTCCCAGGCTCAGTCACCTAGCATCCACCCTCATGAGCCATATCCTCTGCTGGGGTCCTTCCCACGCTCTCAGCCCCTAATCCCGAACCTCCTGCAACTATTTCCCATCGCCACCCTAACGAAGGCCATGTTCCTGACCCCGCAGGCTGCCCCCGGGCTGGGTGTCCCTGGGCCGTGTGGACCCTGAGGAAGACCTGAGTCTCACCTTCGCTCTGAGACAGCAGAACCTGGAAAGACTGCCCAAACTGGTTGAGGCTGTGTCGGATCCCAGCTCTCCTCGCTACGGTGCCTTCGGGGCGAGGGATGGGATGTGGGATGCAGTGCAGGTCTGGGCTGAGCTGGGGACAGTGCAGAGCATGTCAAGGTCATGCTCTCGGTGCCTACCAGGGGGTGATATAGGGCAGATGAATGGCAGTGGCTCTCATTGAAAAGTTCCTGAATGAAAGGTGAACTGAAACTAAACTGTCCAAAACTAACTCATTCTGTCTCCAAATCTTTTTCATCCGTGTTTGTCAGGATAGGAACCTAAAAGCAGATGTGGTTAAGAGCACAGGCTTTCCCCTGGCTGATGTGGCTCAGTTGGAACATCCTCCCAACCAACTGAGAACCATCACAGGTTTGGTTCCTGGTCAGAACACATACCCAGGTTGCTTTTCCATCTCTCTTTCTCACTCTCTTTTCCCCTCTCCCTGTCCCTCTGTCTCTCCCTTACTTCTCTAAAATAAATCATTTTATTTCTTTTAAACTTCACCCCAGGATATTTTTTTCCCCATTGATTTTTAGAGAGAGTGGAAGGGAGGGAAAGAGAAAGAGAGACATAGATGTGAGAGAGACATATTGATTGGCATGCATACACACACAGAGACATACAAATACACACACACACCCCAACTGACTGGAGCTGGGGATCAAACCTGCAACCCAGGTGCATTCGTTAAAAAAATAATAATAATAAATAAATAATAATAATAATAATAATAATAATAAATACACACATACTTCAGGAAGGAAGGGAGAGATAGAAACATCAGTTATGAGAGAGAATCGTTGATCTGCTGCTCTTGCACACCCCCCTCACTGGGGATTGAGCGTACAACTCAGGCATATGCCCTGCCTGGGAATCAAACCCTGACTTCCTGGTTCCTGGGTCGATGCTCAACTATTGGACCACACAGGCCAGGGCCCAAGTACATTCACTTGAACCCGTGACTCTTTGGTCCACAGGCCAATCTTCTAACCACTGAGCAAACTAGCCAGGGCTTAATTTAAAAAGAAAAAAGGCACAGGCTTTATGTTCAGATCTGGATTCAGATTGTGACTCTACAAATGGAGAAGTAGCATCTAGTATAGATGCTTCTTGACTTATGTTTATTGGGGGTTACATCCCAAGAAACCTACAAGTTGAAAATATTAAGTCAAAAACGCTTTTAATACATCATAGCTTAGCCTAGCCTGTCTTAAATATGTTCAGAACACAAGATCCAAGACATTGGTAGAGTACCAGTTGCTTGCCCTCGTGATCATGTGCCTGACTGGGAACTGTGGCTTCCTGCCACCGCCCAGCATCAGCAGAGGGTACCGTACCACACTGCTAGCCCCAGAAAAGATAAACATTCAAAGTAGGTTTTCCGTAGTCGGTCTGTGTCGGCCTGGCACCGTTGCAAAGTCAGAAAAACGTAAGCTGGGGACTAATGAGCATCTAGGTGCTCACCAACTCAAGTTCCCCAAATCCACTTCCCTTTCCTCCTCCACTCAGATGCTGAGGCTGCCGCTTCTAACTCTAAAATAGCCTTTGGTGTAGGTCACTTCTCACTCCCGTTGTTGCCACCAACTTGTTTATTTTCTCACGTGGCTGCTGCCAGCCCCGTGACTCTCTTCCCCTCCACCCCACTCCTCCCCACTGTCCTCCACTCTCTGCTCTAAAAGAGTCGATGTTTCGCTCCAATGATCAGGCTGGATTGTGTCCTTCCCCTGCTTGCACCCCTTCATGCTGTGTAGAGGCGTGGGGGAAGGGCGGTCTCAGAAGCACCCAGGAGGTGGGTTCTAGTGTGCATGGCTCCATACAGGAAAACAGTGACTTGCCATCACGTTAAACTTAATGTGTATGAAAATTTGAGCCAGATTAGATATCATCTTATCATTGGCTCTGAAAGTCTCAAAAACTGTTACTGGAAATAAGCTTCAAGTGGAGTTTTAATTTATGAACCTCACGTGTTTTTCATGATCACGGCACTGCAGGCTGTGGTGCGGCATTTGCAACCTGGTAGCCTTTAGGATAAATCCACATTCTTGGCCCTGGCATTCCAGTTCCCTCCGGCTTTTCTTCCCCTGGCCCCCAAGTATAAGCTGCGCCTGCACAGGCTCCCAGGTTGCTATAAAATCCCTCAAGACTCTTCTCCGGGCTCCTGATGCCTTCTGTCTCTTCCTTTGAGGTTGAGGTCCAAAAAGGGAAACTGGGAAAAGCAATGAATGAAGGCAAGAGCCTCTACTGAATCCCTTGCAGGAAAATACCTGAGCCTGGAGGAGGTGGCTGAACTGGTCCGGCCATCACCCCTGACCCTCTACACTGTCCAAAAATGGCTCTTGGCGGCTGGGGCCCAGAACTGCCAATCAGTGATCACACAGGACTTTCTGACCTGCCGGATGAGTGTTCGGTGAGAGAATCATTGCCCTTCCCCCCGCCCCCCCAGGTGGGTGGTACCAATTGTGCCACCAGGGAGACTAGCCACCCCAATGGGAGGGAGCTGAGAGCTTGCTGGGGGCTATGGGTCAGAGCTAACGCATGGGGAGACAACTAACTGCCTGGCGATGCTCACACAGCTGTCCGCTCTGTTCCATGCTTTCTGACCTCTGTTCTCTGCTCTCTGACCTCCAGACAGGCAGAGCTGCTGCTCTCTGGGTCTGAGTTTCACCGCTATGTGGGGGGACCTGCAGAGACCCATGTTGTAAGGTCCCCACGTCCCTACCGACTCCCGAAGGCCCTGGCCTCCCATGTGGACTTTGGTAACACCCGATGGGGTTGGTGGGGTTGGGGCAGGCAGGGCCAGGGGCTGGAGAAGTTTAGATGCCATGCGGGGAGATTGGCGAGATCGGCAGTAAAGTGGAGGCTGGAGTCTAAAAGATCTCCTCAAACCTAATCTCCTTTCCACAGTTGGGGGGCTGCACCGCTTCCCCCCGACATCATCCTTGAGGCAACGCCCTGAGCCGCAGGCGGCAGAGACTGTTGGCCTGCACCTGGGGGTGACCCCGTCCATTATCCGTAAGCGATACAACTTGACCGCACAGGACGTGGGCTCTGGCACAACCAACAACAGCCAAGCCTGTGCCCAGGTGAGCCAGGCAGGAGCCTTGGGGTCCTTGAAGCCTCCTCACGGAGCCTGACCAGCCAAGGGCCCGCCCTTATCCCCTATCCACCACGGGGAAGGTTGGGGAGATCCTCAGTAAAGTGGGGGTTGGAGTCCAAAAGATCTCAAATCTGATCTTACCACAATGGCGGGGGGGGGGGGGGGCGGGGGAAAGTGGGGGACACACTAGTGTGCTCTAGGATGGTATCTCTTGGGGCCACGTCCCGTGGGGCTGTGTCCTCTGACCCATGTATCTGCTCTGGCTCCCTCCGTAGTTCCTGGAGCAGTATTTCCATGACTCGGACCTGGCTGAGTTCATGCATCTCTTCGGTGGGGACTTTGCACACCAGGCTTCAGTAGCCCATGTGGTTGGACAGCAGGGCCGGGGCCGGGCTGGGATCGAGGCCAGTCTCGACGTGGAGTACCTGATGAGCGCTGGCGCCAACATCTCCACCTGGGTCTACAGTAACCCTGGTACCGGCAAGGGGCTTGGTTGGTGGGAAGAGGGATAGGAATGAGTGTTGATCGTTGTGCCTCCAAGAGAATCGCGTGATCTAGAGGGAGATCCTGAAACTCCCCCTCCCCCCCCACTTCCTTCCAAACGACTGCCTTGTGCTCCCCTTCCCACAAAACATCCAGGCCGGCACGAGTCACAGGAGCCCTTCCTGCAGTGGCTCCTGCTGCTCAGTAACGAGTCAGCCCTGCCACCTGTGCACACGGCGAGCTACGGAGATGACGAGGACTCCCTCAGCAGCGCCTACATCCAGAGGGTCAACACCGAGTTCATGAAAGCTGCTGCTCGGGGTCTTACCCTGCTCTTCGCCTCAGGTGACCTCCTACTGAAAACTTAGATTCCCCCCAAACCGAGAGCTCTGACCCCCACAGGGACCCCTCATCCTGATCTCTGGCTCATACTCTGAATTGAACAGGGTCCCCTGACCTGACCTCTTGCACGAAGGACTAACTCCTGAATTCCTCTCCGTCCGCCAACCCTACATCCCAAGCTCTGACCGATTAATCTGAGTGCTAAACTTGGTCTCTCTCAGGTGACAGTGGGGCCGGATGTTGGTCTACCTCTGGGAGACACCAGTTCCGTCCCAGCTTTCCTGCCTCCAGGTAAGCACTCCAGCTCACCCCGCATCGGTGTCCACCAACCTTTCACCTGTGACCTTATGATCTGGAACATTTGCCTTGACTCCACCGGGTGCTCCTACGGCTCAACCTCAGTTTTACGTGCCCTGGGTGCTGCACTCCCCTCTTCCCGGGGGTCCCAGACATTTTAGTGGAAGATAAGCTGGGTGTTCTGTTAGGAAAAGTATGCAGCCACCTCAGCCACGCCTTCGAGGCTCAGAACCTTAGTCATTGCCACGTACATGCTTCCCCACGGAGGCCAGCCCCTCCAGCAACACCCCAGGCCATCGCCACCCGTTTTGGAGGAACCCGTAGGACCCCTGAAATCTGAGTGCTGTCTTCTGCCCTCAGCCCTTATGTCACCACGGTGGGAGGCACGTCCTTCCAGAACCCTTTCCGAATCACCAATGAGGTTGTTGACTACATCAGTGGCGGCGGCTTCAGCAATGTGTTCCCACGAGCTCCGTACCAGGTATGTGTATGTTGATGTGGCTGGATGGGAATAGGGGGTGGGGGGTGGGGGGTGAGGTCAGGAATCCTCAGTGCAGGAGGCATAACGCACTCCATGATGCTTTTTAGGAGGAAGCTGTAGCCAAGTTCCTGAGCTCCAGCCCCAAGTTGCCACCAACCAGTTACTTCAACGCCAGTGGACGTGCCTACCCGGATGTGGCCGCACTCTCCGATGGCTATTGGGTGGTCAGCAACCGCGTGCCTATTCCATGGGTGTCTGGCACCTCGGTGAGAATCAGCCTGGCCTCAAACCGTCTGGAACTACCCTCAGCCCTGTACCCCCAAGACCTTGTGCCCAGAACCCCAGACTTCTCAGAGACCTCTGATCCTTTCCAACACCCCTTCCCCCAACAATCCAATTACTTGCACCCTCACCCTTGCAGGCTTCTACTCCAGTGTTTGGAGGGATCCTATCCCTGATAAATGAGCACAGAATCCTCAACGGCCGTCCCCCGCTTGGCTTTCTCAACCCAAGGCTCTACCAGCAGCATGGGGCAGGACTCTTTGATGTGAGTATGGAAGGGAGACGTGTGAACCTTCTCATAAGAGTATGGGGAGGGCTAAGATACACCCTTAGAGCAGTTCCGCTGGAGTAGGAAAGCCTCTGGGATCTGAATACAGGATGAGGGGCTATAACCTGTTAGTATTGGCACCAGCAGGCCCAGATCTGATGCCCACCTTATCCCTAGGTAACCCGTGGCTGCCATGAGTCCTGTCTGAATGAAGAGGTGCAGGGCCAGGGTTTCTGCTCTGGCCCTGGCTGGGATCCTGTGACAGGCTGGGGAACACCCAACTTCCCAGCTTTGCTGAAGACCTTAATCAATCCTTGACCCTTTCCTGATGGGAGAGAGGGCCTGTCCCCCACCCCACAGCTTGTTTCCTTACCCTGCCCTGTGGGAAGCCCTGCTGACCCCTCGCCTGTTGACCGCTGCAGACAGCTCATGTCCCGAACCCTGAAGTGCTGTGAGCGTGACTTGACTCCCAACCCTACCCTGATCCATCATCTCAGGTCTCCCTACACCTGCCTCAGATTCCTCTGCATATGCTATAGCCAGCACCCTTTCCCGCCCCCCCCCCCCCCTCCTTTCCTTCTTTCTCTCTGCAACCAGGCTTTTCCCAAGGGTTGTCTACACTGTCTGTGTACATGATTTTACTTTGTGTTTGCATCTCAGTTCATTTCAATGAGACCTCTGTGCTCACTTTTTTCCTCTTTCCTCCCCTGACACAGAAACAATGGTCTCCCTGCTGCTTCATCAAGCGCACTCCTCCCAATCTTTTCTTTATGGCCCTCTGTCGTCACAGTTGCCCACTCCCTCTCTTTCCTTAGCTTCTAGGGCTTAACTTCTTTTCTGACCATTCCCTCTTCCTTCTCTTTCTCTGCTTCCTCATTGATGTACTTCACTACTGCATCCTTACTCAATCTTTTGCTCTCCTCACTCTATCCATTGTCCCCTGGAACAAATCAATGATTGGCATCCACAGTCATCACCATCTTACTAAATTAGACATTCTATCCAACAGTGATTGATACCTCAAATGCAAGATGTGCAGTTCTCAGCACTTCATCTCTCTTCCTCCTTCCCAATCCTTTTTATTTCTTCTTGGTACATATACCATGCTTTTTCCAACCAAGCCAGAAAGCTAAGTGTCTTTCTAGGCTCTTATTTCCATCACTACCCCCCTTCAATTTACAAGTCCTACTGATTTTACCTCTGACTTTATCAATCCACAAGTCCTGCCAGTGTTACATTTCCTATGTATATCTAGAACTCATCTACTTCACTCCACCTCCACTGCTACTGCATTAGCTTAAAGCCACATTCTCTCTCCTTTGAATTGTAGGCTCTTGCAAAAAGTGACCTTTCTTCCTGCCCTTTTCTAAACCATCTTCCGGAGATAAAATGAAAATCACATCAAGCCATTTACTTAAGACCCTTCAAAGATTATTGGATAAAGCTTAATAGGCTTTTTTTTTTTTTAATCATGACTCACAAACCTGACCCCTTCCTTGATATTTGTTCCTGAGTAACAAATTGTTTATCCTCCCCTGCTCTTCCCTCAAATATATTCTTTCACTTTTGCTCAAGATATTCTGTGCCCTTAATACTGCCCCTGACTCCCCTTTGCTTGATTGATGTCAAGGATTCTTTCCAGACTCAGTTCAGAAGCCACCTTCTCCTGTGAACCTGTTGGCTCCCTGAAAGCTGGTTGGTTTGGGGATAGTACAAAAGTTCTAGAACTTGAAGCCAAACCTGTTTGATTCTTGCTTCTAATCCAGACTAGTGGAGAGCCTTGGGCAACTAAATTCATCTCCCTGAGCCTTGTCCTCACGTGGTAAGTGGGGATATCTCTACCGGTCTCTCCTAACTATCAGTGAATAATTAAATGGAATAAAGGTGATAAGAGTCCCTGACGCAAAAGTAGGCAGCGGATGTTCATTCCCTTCATGTTTTGCACTGCACACCCTGTGTCTACCTCTAGTATTGTAACTGCCACATAGTATTGAAATGGCCAGTTGACCTGTTTGCCGCCCTTTCCAAGACCAGTTAGTGCCTAGAGGACTAGAATCTTGTTTTACTTAACTTTGTATTCCCAGGCCCCTAGCTCCGGATTGCAAGTAGGAATTAAATGTTTGTTACATCAAGAACCTCACTTTTGCACTCCCTGTGATTTTTGCATATGTTATTTACTCGGGATGAATACTATCCAGTCCCCAGCTGCCCTGTGTGCTCTCTCTTCGGGCAGCTGGCGGGGAGGGGGCTTCCCTCCTCCTCTACGAACCCTAAAAGGCGGAATGAGGGAACTATAGTAGAAAGGATGCCGACTGACAGGGAACCGGTGGTCGAGGGGTGTCGGGCGGGGCCGATGAGTCCAAAGCAAGGCCTTTGGGAGTCCGGCTGAATGAAGGTCCCAGCCCATAGGAGACAGACCTCCACACTCCAGGGTTCCTGAACCGGCGGAACCGGCGGAGGCGGGGAGGCGAACCTCCGAGGCTTGGGCCCCGCCCCCGTCTGTGTCAGCTAGCGGGCATTTAAGCGGCCGGTGGGCGGGGAGCCCCGCGGTCACGGCGTGGGCGGGGCGAGCGCGGGACGTCTGACGTCACTGGTGCGTGCGTAGCGTGAGTGGAAGCGGAAGCGGCTCTGTTCGCCGCCTCTCCCACCGGCCCGATGAGCTGCAGCGGCCCCGGCGCGGACCCCGAGGCGGCCCCGGCCTGCGCTGCCTCGGCCCCGGGCCCGGCCCCCGCGGTCTCGGCCCCCGCCGCGCTGCCCGCCGGCACCGCTGCGGAGAACAAGGCCAGCCCCGCGGGGACGGCAGGGGGGCCTGGGGCTGGAGCCGCGGCCGGGGGCGCGGGGCCCGTGGCGGCGCGGGCCGGGGAGCCGGCCGAGCGGCGCGGGGCGGGTGAGGGCCCAGGGCGGGTGAGGGGGCGGGAGCGCCCCGGGCTGGGCCCGTCGGCGGGAAAGGCAGACCCAGCCGGGCCCCGGGCCCTCCACTGGTCACAGCGCTGCTTCTCCTCCAGCTCCGGTGTCGGCGGGCGGCGCGGCGCCCCCGGATGGGGCCATGTCTAACGGGGTTTATGTGCTGCCGAGCGCGGCCAACGGAGACGTGAAGCCGGTGGTGTCCAGCACGCCGCTGGTGGACTTCCTGATGCAGCTGGAGGATTACACGCCTACGGTGGGCTTTCTGCCACACCGTCTGGATTTCCAGCGTCCTCCTCTTGTATTTGCCCTTCCGCTAGCTCTTGTGACTTACCCCCTCTGCCCACACAAACTGAGCTTCCCATAGCCAGGCCTGCCCTCCTACCCTCACCTGAGCCCATCAGTGCACAGGGCAAGCACTGAAACATGTCTCATTGGTTTCTCAGATCCCAGATGCAGTGACGGGTTACTATCTGAACCGTGCTGGCTTTGAGGCCTCAGACCCTCGCATGTGAGTAAATTCTGGTTAGAGCCTTGGGTGCTTGTGTGGTGTTTGCCGTCCCATCTTCTTATGCTAGTTTTTTTCTCTCTAGAATACGGCTCATCTCCCTAGCTGCCCAGAAATTCATCTCAGACATTGCCAACGATGCACTACAGCACTGCAAAATGAAGGGCACAGCCTCTGGCAGCTCCCGAAGCAAGAGCAAGGTGTGAGGGGAGACTCATTGAATCCGTAATTACCTCCCACAGCAGCGGAGGCTTAATTTATCCTGAAACCCCTTTGGGGGAAACTCGAGCCTAGGGGAAGTAAAAAAAAAGCCTACTCAGGGTCACCCACCTGGGATTGAAAGCACGATTCCTGTGTTCAGCAGGTACTCTTCCCTTTCCCCCCAGGACCGCAAGTACACTCTAACCATGGAGGACTTGACTCCTGCCCTCAGCGAGTATGGCATCAATGTGAAGAAGCCGCACTATTTCACCTGAGCCACCCAACCTATGTGTGCTTGTCTGCCTCCTCATCCCCACACCAGACTGTTTTCATAATAAACTTTATTGTGACAGGTAGGGCTGATCCCTCCCATGCTGGGAGACACCGTGTGGCAAGTGACAAAGCTCTGAGCCCAGCCCCTTTTGGGGCCACAGTGCTAGGAATGGGGGCAGGGATGGGCCCCTTGGCTGGGGTAGTACCATGACTGGAGGCAGGGGAGGCAACCAGAGACCTGCTGCTTTGGAAGGTGCACTCCCCTGTGTCCCACATATCTTGAGTTTAGGTAAGGACTCTCCAGCCCTATTTGTCCTGCATCTTCTCCAGGATAGGCACGATCATGTCAAACTTGGGCCGCTTTGCGGGGTCTTCGTTCATGCAGATCTTCATGAGCTTACACACATGGGGAGAAATGCCTGGTGGGATGGTAGGCCGAAGGCCCTCCAGTGCCACCTGTACATGAAGGGAAACACAAGGTGGGTTTCAGAACATGAGTCTTATGTAGCGAGAGGCCTCCAGCCATCAGGGATGGGCCCCTTGGCTGTATATTTGAACAACTGGGAAAAGCCCAGCCCTCTACAATTGTCCCTACTACCGTCATTGCCCCAATGCGTGCTCTCACCTTCATTCCAATCTCCATGTTGGAGAGGTCAGCAAAGGGTACTTCCCGTGTCACCAGTTCCCAGAGAAGCACTGCAAAACTCCACATGTCTGCTGAGCGTCTGTTTGTGTCTTCAGGCTTCTTCTGCAGAGCTGGAGGGGGAACACTTATCTGTCCTGGATGCCTACCCTGTCCTGTCTCTGCCGCCCTCCACTGCTACTGAGCTGCCTTTCTCTACCTCCCATACGGCCTCACCTTCGGGGGCCACCCAGGCAGGTGCATACATGCGCCCAGGACATTGGAAAGAGAACTTGACGTCAGCCATGCTGATGCGGGCGGTCATGTCCTCATCGATCTGAGGAAGAGAAGATTACCAGATAGGGAAAGGTCTGGGGGACTGAGCCAGGAGAGAATTTGTAACCTCACCATTACGCTTCGGCTGTTGAGTGCGTGTCGTGGGATGAGGGGCTCTAGTGTGTGTAGGAAGGCCATGCCCCTGGCCATGTCCAATGCAAACTTCACAGCCTGACTCTGGTCCACAACAAAATCTAGGGGAGGAGGCAATAGTCAAATAGCTTGGAGAGGCTCCATACCTCTCCCCGCTTCAGTGACATCTGGCATCCCCTACTCACTGGTGCCTTCATGTAGTACGTTGTACAAGGATCCATATGGCATCCAATGTGTGATGAGAATCGGGTGAGGGGCAGGTGGAGCCTGACAGAAACCTAGCACTGGGAGCACATTCGGATGCGAGAAAATCCTGGGAGAGGAAGAGAGTGGCCCTGGCTGAGAACGAGAGTAAGACATCTTGGGTGTTAAGTTAGCTTCCTTGGAAGTGGTAGCTCCCAGTTTAGGCCTTGCCCCACCTGAGCCGAGGACACTCCTCGTTGAAGTCCCTGCTCTTCCTTGTACTCCAGTCTCGAACCTTCAGCACCTTCATGACAATGTCATTGCCCTGCCAGCGGCCCTTCCACAGCTGAGGGACAGGTAAGGGGTTAGGAGGCGTTAACTTTCAAGCCACTAACGAGAAGAAACGGGAGGAGGTGCAGATCATGTGACTGGGGAGGGAGGGGCAAGAAAGGCAGGGTCACCTCTCCAGAGTGATTCTCGTTGATCTTTGTCAGGAAGTTGAGTTGTTTGAAGTCAATGCCGGAGTGTTTGTTCAGAGTCCCATTTCCTGAGAGTGTGAGCAGGTCAGGTACCCAGCTTCCCCCTGACCCAGCTGGAGAAACCCAGGATTGTTACCTACACCACCCCTTCCCACTCACTGGGCCGAGTGCGGGTGGTCCCCTTCCAGAATGTGTCCTTGTACGGAATACGGGTGAGATTCTGGCCCATCTTCTCTGCCCGCTCTGGGGAAGAAGATAAACAAACGGCCTTGGCCTCAGCTGAGGAGACAGGCAGGGACAAGACAAGAGGACACAGCTGGGGGTTGGGAGACAGACCTCGAAGCAGCTCCCTCAGGGGTGCCTTGGCTTTGTCCACAGGCATTTCTCCGTATTTGTTGCAGATGCTGACAAGGGCCCCATTAGCCACCAGGTCCTGGAAATGAAAAGGTGGCTGTGATGACAGCCCCTGCCACCTCCCTGGCAGTCACAACCACCATGAACTCAGATGCAGTACAAATCCTATGAGCGCCCTGTACTCTGCAGTGCTCACAGGATAGGATGAGGACTCCAGATCTCCCACTGGGGCTCAGACTCCCACCCGTCCCAGGGCTGAGGGCCTGAGTACTTACCTCTGCCACCTGATCTTGACCCCAAAAACAGGCATAGTGCAGGGGCACATTCCCATGCTCATTGACTGCATTGATGTCAGCTTTGTACTGCAGCAGCTGGTTCCCAGGGCCAGAAAACAGAAGAGGCAGAAAGCAGTCAGTCCCAAATGAGACCGGTGTTGAGGCAGGTGAGGGAGAGGAGTACACGTACTTTCCCCAGCATGGTATAGTGCCTGTGAGAGGTAGGGAACGGAGGGGATCATACATACCTTCTGTACAATATCACGGTGCCCGTGACTAGCTGCCAGGTGCAAGGGTGTGTCATCCCCACGGTTCATCACATTGATTCGTGCCCCCCTCATGATCAGCATCTCGACCACAGCAGAGCGGCCCTCTCGGCAGGCCCAGTGCAAGGGGGAGAAGCCATGATCGTCCCTTTGAAGGAAGGGGCCATGGTCATTCATCTGGAGGTGGAACGGGGCAATGGCCTTTTATAGTCCCTCTATGTGCTCACCCTGCTTACCTCTCCAGGACTCCAATTCTCATTCCAATTCAGACTCATACACTTCAAACCCAACCTTCAACAAGTCCCTAAGATTCATTGTTTTCATCAACATCTCCCACCAGCCCTTCTCTGGAGTGCCCTATCTCATTAAGTGGTGGCATTCTTTATCTGGTGTCCTCTGCATCCCTTTTGCAACATCTGTTGGTCCTTTCTGTTTCCCACTGCATATTGCACACCCCCCTACTATAATACGTATAACACGACTGTAAAAATCTGTGAATGGGCTGTCCTGTCAGATGGCAAGCTTCTCAGGAGAATGGATTGACAATGGGTTCAGTGCCTGTTGCGGGAGCAGTCATGGAGAAAGAATGCCATAATTCACGGAGAGGGGGGCAAACTTCCTGATTGGCTCTGCTTGAAATTAAGATTTAAAAATGGAAAGGAATTTAAAAAGCTTTGGGTTTATAATGAGAAATGCTTTTGATAAGCCATTACTGATAAGGCACTATCAAACTACCACATAAAACAGGAGTCTTTTACACAAACAATCCTAGGCCCAGAAAACAGAAGAAAATAAGAATGTCTTCTTGTAGAAAGAAAACTGCTTGACTTTTTTCTTTTCCCATGGACCTGTATTTTATCAAGTAAAAGACCCGTACAAACACACACACACACACACACACACACACACACACACACACACACACACACACACCAAAGCAATCCGGTGGGAGCAGGGCCTGCCTGACAGCCTGGGGCCATAAAAGGAAATTCCCTCCAGTCCCGGAGGCAGATCCAAGGGGCGGAGCTGGGGTTGGTCTGTGGTTTGGGCCGACCGCCTCCGGATGCCTTAGTGCTGTGGTCACTTCCGTGTGGGGGCTCTGCGCCCGGCCTGGAGCTGATCAGGGGTCTGGCCTCCGCAGGCCAACCAGAAGCCCCCAATAGCTCATGGGAGGGAGGGGGCGTGGCCTTGAACGTAATGATTTCCTTCCGAAGCTGCCTTCATCAGCTCTCAGCCAAAAGTTTTCCTGGGAGGTGGGTTCCTCCCCCTCTCCTAAGCAGTTACCACCCCCTGCTTATCAGTCAGTTTTACTTCCCAGCACTTTAATTTATGTCTTGGCTTATCATCCACCCCCCCCCCCCCCCCAGACTATGGCCCCAAAACAGGCCAGAGCCTGAGAGCAAAATATGGGTAGGATTCTGTCCACTGTCAAACGGATAGTGACCTCAGGGCCATGACTCAAATCCCAGAGGGGTCTGCAGGGAATTCATCTCAACCTTATAGCCATCATATGGCCAGCTTGGGCCCTCCAAACCTATCCCCTCAAACCAGCAAAGCCTTCCAGTTTTACTGCCACCCCTTCACTTTTGGACAGCAGAGTCTAGCTGGGTGCCACACCCACTGGACAACTTCGCCTAAGCCTTTATAACCCCAACAAAACAGTAACAGTGCCCACTGACTTTATTAGAACACCCTTTGAGTGACGGAACGAGTGACTTCGAATTATGGAGAAGTATTATAGTATAGAGCCTAATGGGTACCAATGAGCCTTGTGGGAGCCTGGATGAAGATGACAGGTGATTCTTGCCTCTCAATCTCAAAAACTAAACTCTGCCAGCCTTAAAAAAAAAAAATTTTTAAATGAAATTAAAATCCATCATCCTGAGTCAACATCACTACTGCTTTTCTTGTCTTCCAGTCTTATCCAACCATATCTCTCATTCAACCTAGTTGGCACAAGGCCCCTCCTGGAGGTATTGAGTCTGAATCCCCACCTCCAGCGCCCAGCAGAGGTGGTCTATTTAGTACAGCATCTTAAATGGAGGAACCTGTGTAATTTGGATTCTTCACCTGTTTTCCTCTGCAACAGCCCTCACAGAGATCACCGGAGATATCATGAATTGTAAATGCAGCGGGTACCATAAAGTGTTTAAATTCTTTGATCTCTCAGGAGCCTGTACAATGCTGACCATTCCCCCTTCATTGAAACATTCACTTCTCTATGCTTCACCAAATTTTCCTGTTTCTCCTTCAACCTCCGGTTGTTCCTTTTAAGTCTTGCAGGCTCTCTTTCACACCATCTTCAGGTATCATCTATATGCTAATATCTCCCAGGTCTGTGTCTCCAAGTCAGACAATTTTCCTGAAATCCAGATCTGCATGACCAACAACTTGCTCAACATTTCTACTTCCCTGACTGTCACTTTACCACGTCTAGAGTGGAGCTTATCATCCATCTCAGTTAAAGGAACCACCATCTACCCAAGTGCCCAACCCAGAACCCTCGTCATTGTCTTTGACCTTACTTCCCACACCAAGTCTCACCAAGTCTTTTTTATGTATTTATTTGTTCACTATTCTTTTTTAAAAATGTCTTTCCAATTACAGTCAATATTATTTTGTATTAGTCTCATAGTGGTTAGACAACCATCTATTTTACAGTGTTCCCCCTGACGCTTCCACCAATTCTTTATCATAAAGATTTCAGAAATCTGATCTCTCTTTTTCACCTATCCACTCCAGTTTAAGCCGCCACCACCACCACCACATCTGGGATAAACTAGGCAATTGCTTCTCTTCACTCTGCCACCGCCTTCACAAAGCATCCAAGATGACCCTTTACAAATGGACAACCTCACGTCATTACATGGCTTTAAACCCCTTGTCCTTAGAACAAAGACCTTATTTATAGCCTAAATATCCTGGCAGGGTCTGGCTGACCCTCGCAGACATTTCCAGTCTCCTGCGGTTCTCCACTTGCACCCGTGGCTTCTTATCCTCCGGCCATAGGAAATTTGACAATCTCTGGGCACTCCCCACTCGGTCTTGCCTCCACGCCCAACTAGTTCCCTGAGGCTGAAAAGTTCTCTTGCAGCCAGGCTCTGCCAATAAAACTCTTAACTTAGCAGTCAAGGTTCAGCTCAAACACAGCTTCCTCTGTGGAGACCCTGTGCCCTCCCCGCCCCCCCCAGACAGGCTGTGCTTGGCACTCATCACACTGGAGAGGATGGAAGTCAGCCGCTCCGGATGAGCACCCCTCATGCCCTCCCTCTCATCCCCCACCGCACACCTCCGCTCACCCCTGGTTGAGGTCGTTCTCCGTGTTGTCCAGCCACAGGCGGACGGCTACCGCGTTGCCCTCCCGGCACTGGGTGAAAATGTCGTCCATCGCAGCGTCCCGGCGCGGAGTCCCCTGGGTTTGGGAAGCCTGGGGACTGTGGAGAGATCCAGGGGGCGGGGGTGAGCCTCAAACTTTATCCCCTCAAGTGCACAAGTGTCTGCGTTGGGGGTGGGGGTCTGGGTGCTGCGTCCCCAGTCAGTGCAGGTTTGGGAAGGAGTTCGAGGAAACGGGAGGATCCCCAACTGGGTGTCCCCGGATGAGAGAAAGAGAGAGAGAGAGAGAGAGAGAGAGAGAGAGGGAGAGAGAGAGAGAGAGAGAGAGAGGCGATTCCGGGCGAGATAGGAGGAGAGTGGGAGGAAGCATGTCTCCAGAAGGGATGTCAGAGAGCACGCACAGGGACCCAATTCGCTCACAGCTGCAGGAGGGGGGTGAGGGAAGAGGTTCGGACTCCCTATTTCCTGGGGGAGGAGATCGGGGGGGGGGGTCCTTCCTGGGGGTGGCCCTCGCCCCCGATTCCGAACGAAGGGAGGGGTGGGGGCGCCCTGGGGAGGGGGCACGGGTGTCCCCGCACTCACCGGGACTCGGGCTGGAGGAGCCTTCTTCGGGGAACTCCCGTCCGGCCGCGCCCGCCGCCCGGCCCCGCCCCTGGCCCTCGGCAGCCCGCGCGGACCTCCCTTCCTCCCGACTCCTTGCCCTTCTAGCCCACCAGGGCGCGCACTCGATGGTTCTCGGCGCCGCGCCGGCCGCTCTAGCCGCCCGGCGTTCCCAGCTTGGTTTCCGGCGCGGGGCGCTCGGTTCCCGGCGGCAGACGCTCCCCGCACGTGGAGAGGCGCGGGCGCCCCGCGACCCCGCCCCGCGCCGCCCAGATGTTCGAGGAGCCCGAGTGGGCCGAGGAGGCCTCCTTGGCCGCGGGCCTCGGGCCGGTAGCCTCGCGGCCGCGGCCTGCGGCAGCCTGTCCAGTCAAGGTGAGTGGCCCCCGGTGGCCCCGGGGGCTGTGGAAGGCCCCGGAGCGGGTTCTCGTGGGTCTCCGCGCTGGCCACGCCGCCCGCGCGCACTTCGCCAGTAAGTGTGTGTGTGTTCACGCTCTGGCGTCTGTGGTCGAACTGAGATCAAAGATCTGAGGTCTTCCACAAGAAAATGACGTCGGGCCGAAACCGGTGTGGCTCAGTGGATAGAGCGTTGGCCTGCGGATTGGAAGGTCCCGGGTTCGATTCCGGTCAAGGGCATGTATTATACCTTGGTTGTTGGCACATCCCCATTAGGGGGTGTGCAGGAGGCAGCTGATCGATGTTTCTCTCTCATCAATGCTTCTAGCTTTCTCTCCTTCTCTCTTCCTCTCTGTAAAAAAAATCAATAAAATACATATTTTTTTAAAAAAAGAAAGAAAATGACGTTGGAACTGAGAGTTGGTTAAGTAGCACTTAGTGAAGCAAAGACAGGTTTCTCGGACAGGAAAGCACGTGCAAAGGCCTTGGGTCAGGAGACCGTGCGTGTCCTATGAGGGTAAGGTGACCAGACGTCCCGCTTTTGGGGGACAGTCCCGATTTTTAACAATGTGTCCCGCGTCCCGCGGCGTTTTTAAAAAAAAAAAAAAAAGTCCAAAAGATTTAAAATAATCTTTACAAAAATCGGGACTTTTAAAACGCCGTGGGACGCGGGACACGTTGTTAAAAATCGGGACGTCTGGTCACCTTATATTGGGGTCACACACAGAGAAATAATCTGTGTTCTTGGAGCCCCGAGAATGAGAGGGAAAGCCATTGAAGTTGGAGAGGTAAGTTAGTGGTTTTACATACTTTAAGGGAAGACAGAAGTCCATGAATCGGTTTTAGAAGGGCAAGGATTCCTTCAGAATTGCAGTGTGAAGAGGGGACTTGAGAGGGAGAGGGAATGACAGAAGGGCTGTCCGTGCTACCCTTTCCAAAGCGGTGTGGAGGGGGTGCTAAGAGCCTCCCAGCTAAGTGCCTGCACTAAGACTGCCCAGTTGGACTTCAGTTCCCAAGGCCTCCCAGACAATAAACCTTCTCCTCTAAGCGTTTGCTGATGGGAAGGCAGCAGTACTTTTCCGGCTCTTCCTACTCTCCGTGAGCTTCCAACATAGAATCTGTCGCTCTATGCCTCCTCTTCATTCCCTTAACCCATTGCTATAATCCAGGTCCCGCTGTCTGCCTCTTGTCTCCTTCAGTGCTCTATACTGCAGCCAGAGTCATTTTAAATGGGTGTCTCTCTTTTCAGAAACTTTCACCTTTTACCAGCTGGAGGCAAACCCCTCAGATGGAGGGTTGAACCTCCTGGTCTCTGGCCGTGGTCCTGCTGCTTGTGGCTTTAACACTTTTCTCTGGGAACCCCAGTACCTCTTTTGAACATTGAAGAAAGTGGGATGGGAGGATTCTCTATCTTCCAGCCTCCCAAAGGTTGGGGTGGCAACTTGAAAGTTCTTCAGGGTCTGACATGCTTCGTGACAAGCTCGTTAACTCGGAATAATCCAGATATTGTTGCCAGTGTTTGAATCAGGTCCCTATCTCTCCCTTCTCGTTCCCCAGGTCCCATCCATTCTCCTCCCCACTGCTTTTATTCCTTTTTTTGCATATGTATATTTTTATTGATTTCAGAGAGGAATGAGAGAGAGAGAGAGAGAGAGAGAGAGAGAAACATCAGTGATTAGAGAGAATCATTGACTGTGTGCCTCCTGCACACCCTCTACCGGGGATTGAGCCTGCAACCCAGGCTTGTGCCCTGGACTGGAATAGAACCCAGGACCCTGCAGTCCACAGGCCGATGCCCTACCCACTGAGCCAAACTAGCTTTCATCCCTTCTTTCCTCTCTAGGGCTCCAAGCGCCGACAGCTCTTGGCCACGCTACGGGCCCTGCAGGCAGCATCTCTCTCCCAACAACTCCCCAGCCTACCTGGCAGCGACTCTGAGGAGGAGGAAGTGGTGGAGAGGAAAAAGAAACGCCCAAAAAAGGCCTCATTGGCCAGTGTTCCTACTAAGGCAGAGCAGAAAAGGAAGAAGCAGCATCAAAAACAAGGCCTACCTGGCAGTGACTCTGAGGAAAAGGAAGTAAAAAAGAAGAAGTGCCGGAAAAGGGCCCTTGAAAGTGATTCTGCTGCAGAAGACAAAAGAAAGGGGAAATGCCAGAAACAGGCGCCTTCAAACCCTGCCCAGCACCTGGACGGCGTTGACCAAACAGGTATTTGAGGATGCATATGTGTGTGGGATGGGGGTCATCTGATCTTATATCTGACCAAGGTCACTTCCCAGGGCTGAGGTTGGGCAGTTAGAAGTACTTTCCATCCAGGCCCCAGTCTCTGCCTTGGCCAGGATGAAAGTGCCACGCCTCTGAGTTCAGTGGATCCTGCCCCAAATATGCCTTTCCGTCTTCCCGCGACAGGTGCCACAGCTTGGGAGAGTGGTGCTACAGGTGACCCGTCCAAGCCAAGCCCTGTGACCACGTCCCCCCACACTCCCCATGCCCTGAGTCGCAAGCAGTGGCGGAACCGGCAGAAGAACAAGCGGAGACACAAGAACAAGTTCCGGCCACCTCAGCCGCCGGACCCGGCCAAAGCCACCGCCCCCACAGAGGAGACCGAGGTGCCCCCCGCCCCCACTCAGGGAAACCACGAGGCCCGCGCAGGAGCTCTGCGAGCCCGCATGGCGCAGCGGCTGGATGGTGCTCGATTTCGCTACCTCAACGAGCAGCTGTACTGCGGGCCCAGCAGTGCCGCACAGCGCCTCTTCCAGGAAGACCCCGAGGCCTTTCTCCTCTACCACCGCGGCTTCCAGAGCCAAGTCAAGAAGTGGCCACTACAGCCGGTGGACCGCATCGCCAGGGACCTTCGCCAGCGGTGAATGGGGCTGGGCACCGTGAAAACCAAGGTTGGTCAGGCATGGGCTCAGACCAGACCAGTGAGTGACCCCTCCCCTCCACTCCCAGGCCTGCGTCCCTGGTGGTGGCTGACTTTGGCTGTGGGGACTGCCGCCTGGCTTCAAGTATCCGGAACCAGGTGCACTGCTTTGACTTGGCCTCTGTGGACCCCAGGGTCACTGTATGTGACATGGCCCAGGTAAGCCCCTTCATCCCTCTGTGTGTCTGGCCTGTGTTTGAAGTCCAGCCGGCATGTGCTGATCTCTACCACTCCCTTCCTCCTCCCTGCCCACACCCCATCCTGGTGTCCATCCTACCCCTCGCTGCTGGCCTTCTCTCCTCCCCAAATTGTGTGCCTCATACACCACTCCCACCACCCACAGGTGCCTCTGGAGGATGAGTCTGTAGATGTGGCTGTGTTCTGCCTTTCGCTGATGGGAACCAACATCAGGGACTTCCTGGAGGAGGCAAATCGAGTGCTGAAGCCCGGGTAAGAGCCTCCAGGGCACAGGTGTGTGTATATGTGTGTGTGTGTGTGTGTGTGTGTGTGTGTGTGTGTCTGCACTTACACAGAACTTTCTTCTCAGGGGTCTCCTGAAAGTGGCTGAAGTCAGCAGCCGCTTTGAAGACGTTCGCGCCTTTTTGGGAGCCGTGACCAAACTGGGCTTCAAGATCATCTCCAAGGTGAGGGCCCAAGAAGTCTGTCCCTGTTTTTGTCTCACCCCTGTTCAGGGTAGTGGTGTTCAGGAAGAAGGCCATGGGCCCAGACATTTGCTTCTTGAAGGCATGACTCCTGGGAGAGCCCTGGGAAGCTTTCTGAGCTAGGGTAGGGCATAGACAGGTGTTTTTAAAGAATGGGGTGAGGAATTGGGACTCACTGGGTCTTTTCTGCCCCTAGGACCTGACCAACAGCCACTTCTTCTTGTTTGATTTTGAAAAGACTGGGCCCCCTCGAGTGGGCCCCAAGGCTCAGCTCCTAGGCCTGAAGCTTCAGCCGTGTCTCTATAAGCGCAGGTGACCTCTGGACCCCCCTTGAAGGGGGATGCACGTCTTGACTCCATAACCAGCCAGACTGTAACCCAGGACCGGGTATTCCTCTATCCCAAGAACAAAGTGTGATGAAACCCGTGGTTCAGCCCTGCTCTACTGAAGGATTTTTGGTTGCAAGAAGCATAAAATCACTTGGGCTGGCTAAAGAATACGGAAGTTGTTATGAAAACACAGGGATATCTGGGAATTTTGGATCCCCTAGATGTCATGGAAATTAGATTATTTGGAATTATTTGACTTTTTTTTTCTGTCTCTTAGGAGCCACGGGGGCTTTCTGTCCTGGTGTCTCCATTCTCTCTCCTCATCTTCTGTCTGCAGACCAGCTTCCTCTGCTTACTCAGAACTGCTGCCTCTTCAGCTTTGGTCTGCTTCTTGGCTCTGAACAGCTATTAGCCCACCAACTTCCTGGCTCAGTATAACAAACTGGGTTTCTGAGTCAGGACTGTTGTATTCTCTCTGCACTAAACACTTCTTTCCCCTCTAGTCTCATGTCCATCTTTGCAGCTACATGACTCAAACACTCCCAGCATCTGTTGTTGTCCTGTGGGGCCCTGATGTGTGTCTGGTTGAGAGCACAGATTTTAGAATCAGGTGGACCTGGCTGAGAGTCATTTGATTTTTGAATGTCACATTCCTCATATGGAAAACGACAGAATTCCCGTCTCACGGACTATTGTGGGCCAACTGAGGAGATCTGTAGCCAGGCCTGGGTACCCAGGAGGTGCTCAGTAAACTATAGCTGTAGCTGGGTATTGTGTGTTGTAAGCTTCATTGTTCTCTAAGGACCTTCTCTGGACTGGGTTGGAGGTTGAAGGTAAAGAATAGATTTGTTGCCCTAGCCGGTTTGGCTCAATGGATAGAGCATCAGCCTGTGAACTGAAAGGTCCCAGGTTCGATTCCAGTCAAGGGTACATGCCTGGGTTGTGGGCTCGATCCCCAGTGGGGGACTTGCAGGAGGCAGCTGATCAGTTATTCTCTTTCATCATGGATTTTTCTGGCTCCCTCTTCCTTCCTCTCTGAAATAACTAAAAAAAATATTTAAAACAAACAAACAAAAAACTAGACTCAACCAACGAGTTATATCGGCCAGGGCAAGAGAGTAGTTTTTGTTTTTTGTTTTTGTTTTTAATATGGAAGGAATGGGAAGGTTGTCAGTTGTCAATTGCTATTGAAAGGTGTATTAAGATGAGAAATCAGATTGCGGTGGAATGAGGACTGCTAATTCCTCATTTGAGGGCCTTTTTGAACATATATAGGTATTGAGGGCCTTTTTGAACATATATAGGTATTGTTTATGAATTTATAGTTATACCCCAGCCTAATGGTGTGGCTGTCTGCCTACTCAGGAATCTAGGTGTAGCTGTAGAAACAGCAGTACGATCGTCCAGAGTTGAAACCTTGCCATGCAAAAGAAATGAAAGGAACATGAGCAAAGTAGTTTCAGACTATTTGCAGGTAAGTGATTGCTATACTGGGCTGTGGAATTTTGTAGAACAGATAGGAGAGTGAAAACAGGAGTAGGTTGTTACCCTGGTAGTAACTGAACAAGTAACCTGGGAGGATGGGAGAAGGTGGTCAGAAATTGGAATACTTAAGTTGTAATTATTGGAAGCAGATCAGCTCCAGGTGATGGCAGAGTCCAGAGTGCAGCGACCATGGTGAGTGCCTGAGAGACATTCAAGGGAGGCTGCCTGAAGATTGGTTAGCGGACTGAGGGCTCGGGTATTTGTATGGGGGTGGCTGTTGTCTGTGTGGACTTTGCAGTTGTCTAGGATGGTGGTAGAAGTTGGCATGGAACAGGTGCCAACCTCCTGAGGGAGGAAACCAATCCAGGAGATCTGCAGACAAAGGGAAAGAGAGAATAATGGCATAAATTTCAAAAGTGCTGAGGGTTCACCAGCCCATTAGAGACTCATTTGGGAGTGGAGCTGGCTGCCAGGCGGCTAAGATAAAGTACCCTGACAGTCCTCTCCAGTTCCTCAGGACTCCCCGGGGATTGCTGGGGAGGGAGCATTGTGGCAGCTCCATGGCCAGGAGCCTCCTGCAATAATGGGAGGTGAGCCACAATGTCCAAGGGATGTGTTGTGGTATAGGGCATGTCACTGTAGGACACATCACCTTTTATAGCTCCTTATCGGTGTTCTTTCCCGAATGTTTTTTATGTTCCTAGATCTTGACTAATCTTCCCTGTTTTCTTGGCATGCTCCACCGAACAGCTGGAGTCTGCCCTCCTCCCTCTTTTGCGTTCCCCCCTTATTCTTCTCCCTTGGCCTGTTCTGGCACCGGCCACCTGAGTAAATATCCCTCCTGGTCTGACTCAGACACCAGGTTCACTCTAGCTCAGCCCAGTCCCCAGTAGTGGCCCATCAATCACTGATTATGAAAGCAGCACTCTGCCTGACCTGGGTCCCCCCGTCCCCCCCTCCATCATCAATTTCAGGACGAGCTTTTTGTTCAAGTCCTTGCCTGGATTTCAGTGTCTGATGTTGAGATTCTAGAATGAAGAGAGGACAATATATGTTTCTTTAAGAAATAGCAGCATGCCAGCTGTTTAAAGAACAATGAGTCCAATTTAAGGGACACTTTGAGAACAGGGAAGGAGTGGCAAGAGTAGTAGGCAAATGAGAATGGGAGGGGCTGCTGGTTGTGAAAGACAGTAGTTCTCAAAGTTGAGAGTGCAGTAGAATTGTCTGGTAGGCTTGTTATAATGCAGATTGCTAAACCCTCCCCCAGTTTCTGATTCAGAAGGTCAGGATAGGGCTTGAGAAGTTTTTTCTGGTTGCTTTGATTTTCCTCAATGAAGCGTGAAGTAGACTTTGAGTTGAGAATGAGAATAGGAGAAAGGGGGTTGGAGTTTTGAGGAGAGGAAAACATGAATATTGTTTCTAAGAGAGGGAATGAATGAATTAGGAAAATACAGCATGATTGCTAAAAGTATTTATAGCACACCCAAGGCACAAGGTCAGAAAGAGGATAGGACTGGAGGAGACCAGGGTAAGATTGCTTTCTGAAGAGCTTGTTACGTGAGACAGAGTACACCTGGACTGTCAGAATCCACCCACGTCTTGTGGGGCAGGCTGGTTTCTGCCCTTTTACCGCTCGTCTAATTGGGGATTCCACTGGGACCATTTGGGATGCCTGAAGTATTTAATTCTACAGCCAAGGAATGATGAGCCTGGAGTCTGACTCCTGCCCTGGAAATGTAGAAGGCTAGCAGAGGCTCACTGACTGCTTCAGTGTGGAGCCAGAGGAGAGCTGCTGCTTTTGCATTGGCCTGCATTCCCAGAATTTGCCAGGGCACCTGATGTATGAGTGCATCCTACACTCCTTGCAGGAGAGAGGGACGCATGGGTGGCCTTAGGTCTTGTCCAATAGGACCATTGGAAGAGGCAAGGATACCTCAACACAAAGGAGCTACCATGTTTCCCCGAAAATAAGACATCCTCCAAAAATAAGACCTAGCGCAACTTTGGGAGAAAAATTAATATAGGACACTGTCTTATTTTCGGGGAAACAGGGTAGGAGTGCCATGTGGATCGAGGAGGAAGTTGCAGGAGACCACCCAAAACAAAGCCACATCACCAGGTCAAGGGGACAGCGAAGTGCCCCCTGTAAATATCTGCGTAGTCTATAGGGTTCAGAACCACCAGTCAGTCAAGAACCGTTTTATTCCCTGACTTCTCTGCACTTGGGCTCAAAGCAATCAGCACCTAATAGGTGGAAAAGAGGAGAGATTATTCTGCCCTTCCCCATAGCAAGCTCTTATATTTAAGCAGAACAGAATTGGGAAGGGAAAATAGTTAAAGCTACAACAGGTGCAGATTATTTATTGTTGCATAGGATTAGACATTCTAATCACTTGGATTTGTGTTTGTATCTTAAAATGAGCACAAGACTATTAACTGAGCTGAAAAGTCACAGGCTTGCTACAGCTCTTTTCCAGCACTGGGCAAGAGTACCCCCAAATGAAAGAAGTCCGGAGGGGTGGTGAGAGACAGTAATAAAGTTGGATACTAGGCTTGTTAGCATCCCCTTTAGAGGCTTATTGCTTCTGCATATATTGGTGAGCTCCAGCTTTTGTTCCTGTAATGTAGTCCTAAGAGAATACAGTTCCAAAAGAAACATGATCTTGGCAGAGACACAACTCAGCTCCAAACACTCAACTATTTCTGTAATCGCACAAAGCCCTTAAGGCTTTTTAGAGACTTGTAATTAGACCTTTTTATCCCCATGTTGCCCTCTTTCCCAGGTGACTTCTCAGACTGGTCACCTGATTCTAGGATATATGACAAAACTCAGTAACCACCTTACTGGTCTCCTCCAAAGCAATTCATTTTGCACACAGCCAAGTGATCTTTTTTTAAAATGTAAATCAGATTTGTCACTTCTCTGCTTAAAATTCTTCAATGGATGCTCATTGCTCTGAAAACAAAAGACAACTTTCATTCCCAGGCCCTGTGTGATCTTGCCCAGGCCTTCCTCTCCAACTGCATCTTAACCCACTCCTTACGAAACTCCAGCCACACGGGGTTACTTTTCATACTCCTTTTCATTCCTCCAACATGCTAAGCCTTTTCTGCTTCTGGGACTTTGTACATGCCGCTCCATCTTTCTAGAGTGCTCTCCCTGGTGAGCTCATTTTCATCTTCCAGATCTTCACACCGACGTCACCTTTTCTAATGTGGAAGAAACTGGCTAGTTGCCCAGCAGAATCTCCTTTCTCTGGACAGTTAAACTCCATTTCCCAGCTCCTTGCATGAAGATGGGGCAATGTGAATAGTCCTCATCCATGGAAGGGGGGTAGGAGAGATGTTTCACTACCAGACCAAGGCACTTAGAGAGCAGATGAGCCTTCTCCATGTTGTGCCACCCTCCCCTCCACCTTTCAGGGTGACCTTGTAGCACATGTTTGAAGGTGATTGAGTAACAGCATAGAAAAGGTCTGGATACTGGAGTCACTCTTTGGGAGGAAAGCTGCTTGACTTCAGAACATCCACATTGAACTTTGAACAGGGAGTTAACCTCTACTGCAACAAATTAGTGAATTTTGGGAGATTTAGGGCAGTTAGCGTTATAAATCCTGGCTAATAGATCTTCTCTAGTCATTCTATCCCCTTACTCTTGATCACAAAACCCTTTTTGTTTCCTTTGGGTGCTTCAAACAGTTAATGTCTTTAGCAAATGCTAGTCAACACTTTCCACCTGTGCCATTAATTTTAATCTTAATTGGGGGGAGGGGGATGTTCACATCAGGAAGTTGAGATGCTTATGTTACCAGTTACATTTTGTGTCAAGAAAATGCCACTGAAGAATGTCTTATGTTAGAATTTTCTTCCTGTATCAATAGAAACCTAAAGGTTGGTGGCTGTGGGCATTGGTTCTGGAACTTGAGGATGTTAACCATTAGGTCTTGGTCATTCTGCTGGTTTTTTTTTTGTTGTTGTTGTTGTTTTTGTTTTTGTTTTTTTTAATATATTTTATTGATTTTGTACAGAGAGGAAGGGAGAGAGATAGAGAGTTAGAAACATCGATGAGAGAAAGTCATCGACCAGCTGCCTCTTGCACACCCCCTACTGGGGATATGCCCGCAACCAAGGTACATGCCCTTGACCGGAATCGAACCTGGGTCCTTCAGTCCCCAAGCCGACGCTTTATCCATTGAGCCAAACCGGTTTCAGCTCTGCTGGTCTTTTGATTCTCATATTCACAAGATGTTATGTTCTTGATTAAGTGGGACACCCAGCTTACTATTTACTAATATACCTCTTGGGAATCTCACTGATTGCCTCAGTCTTTTTGGCCTTCAAGGGTCCTTCTATATTGTTACTAGTCTGGTGTAGGTATGTTCCATTATTCCCTATGACATGGCTGAGACAAAGGTCATGGTTCCATTCCTTGTCAGGGCACATGGGTGGGTTGTGGGCTCGATCCTCAGTAAGGAGTAGGGGGCAGCCAATCAATGATTTTTTTCTCATCATTGATGTTTCTATCTCTTATTCTCCCTTCCTTTCTGGAAAAACAAAACAAAACAACGGAGAAAAGCTTTGGTATCTATGGTTAGGCAACGAGCTTTAAACTTGACATTGAAAGCATTATCTTCTGTATAATAAAAGCCTAATATGTCCCCTTGACCAGGAGTTCAACCAGGGAGTGGGGCCCTGGGGCTGGCTGGGGGTTGCATCCCCTCTCCCTGGCCAGTCCTGTCCAATCACCCTGATCAGACCCCACCTGTGCATGAATTTGTGCACCAGTCCTCTAGTGATCTATAAAAGGAAATGGATAAATTGGACTGCATCAAAATGAAAAACCTTTGCTCTATGAAAGACCTTATTAAGAGGAAGCTGCTGCAGAAATAAATTAGTTTCAGGTGAGCTACAGTACCTTAGTCAATGGCATTTTTGGTCTTTGAATCATTAAGGCATATCGTGTACAGAGCCGGGCACAAATTTCCTCATCAATTTGGATATGCAAATAAAATTCAGTTCCTTTTTCAATTACTGATTTTCTTCATAAGTCTCATTCCCTTCCTGCACTCCACCAAAGAGTGGAAGGAGCTAGAAATAATCCAGTCTCTATGTTTCATCTATCCTCATTGAAATAAATGCTCAAAAACAAATTCCTCCATTCTGCCTCTGCTTTTCTCCAAAGAGACATCTGGGTATAAAGGGAAGGGCATTTCGGGGTACCCTGGCCTAATACTGGTTCTTGGGTGTGCACAAGCTGGAATTTTCTGGATACAGTTGGCTCAGTATCATGCCTGGGCATTCTGCCAACATTTGCTTCTAAAGCTGATGAATCGTCTTGTCTTTTTTAGCAGTCAGGGCCCGTGCACCCTCACTGCCCCCCACCACCATCACCCTATTTTGGCCTCCTTGCAATAACACTGTTCCATCACTAATTTTCTGCCTCATACTCCCTTGAGCCTTAAAGGATCTGTACTCAGCATCCACACCATATAGGAATAAAGAAATACCTTTTCCAGTCCATGCTGCTCTGCCCTCGTAATGCTCTTGGGGCCTCGCTAAGTCTGGGCTGCAAAGCAGTTTCCTTCTAAAGCCCCAGTAGGGAAAAAGCAAAAGTCTCTTTAGTCCTAGTATGTCATTTTACTGCCCTGTCCCAAAGTCCCCGGTCATGTTCCACTCCTCTGGCCTCGACTCCTTCTACCCCCATCCACGGGACAGGACGCACATATTTCTCCCCTTTGTTCTGTGTCTCACTTCCTACTTCCTTTCATTGTTTGGGACTTGAATTTCTTAATGGGATTTTAATTTATCTGGCAGACTGAAATTGTCAAACCTGGAACATGTTTACGCAGTAGTCATTGTATTTGGACTATACTAATAACCTCTAATTGACTCGGTTTAATAACTGGGTTGGGCATAATTTAAGAATGAGCTTCAGTCCAGAAAATGGTGTGGATTTGTAGAAAATACCCTGTACCAACAAATTTCAGATGGTTTTACAGGTACCCCTTCCCTTCCTGCTCCCACTGGAAGGTAAATAGTAGTGATGGTAAACATGGGTAGAGTATATTTATCCAAAAGGACTTCTCCAATATTCTGCTAATCTTCTTTCCTGGAGGAACAGCCTTGCCTCTGGTTGACCGCAGGAAAGAAGAGGGAATGGCTTCTGAGAAAAGTGGAGGCTTTTGCTCTCTGTTTTGTCTCATGTTCAAAGGCATTAGTCGCACCACAGTCACGAGTGAGTGGGTGACTGTGAAGAGGTTGTGCACTTCTTGAATTGCATTTCCTCCTGCCATGTAGCTTATCCTAGCCAGAGGGAGGTGAGTTGTACCTGGTAAATGGTGCTAGGGGTCAAGGAGAGGACACCCATGTAAGCCTTTAGCTCTGCCATCCTCTAACCCAGTTTTTACCTGAGAAGTTTGCCCTGCGGTAGTATGTAATCACACAGCTATTAATAACTCGGAATATCCAAGTAGAACTCGATTTCTAACTCCTAACCTGTTTCTCCCGCAGATTACCCATCTCAGTTAATAACGTCACGATCCACCCAGTTGCTCACACCTAAAATCTAGACTCGTCCCAGGTTTGTCCTCTTCCCTCGCTCTTCACATCTATCCCATCAGCAAGTCCTGCTGGCTTTGCCTCCAGAATATTCCCTAATTACGTTCATTCTTCGTCTCCACTGTTACGGCCCTTGTCCAAATTCCATCATCTCTCAATAGCCTCCAAGTAAATCTTCCTCCTTGTTACACTGGATTTTCTCCCACCATGGAATAGCCAGGGTCATCTTTGAAAAATTCAGATTAGATCATGTCATCTCCCACCTAATACTCCGATAGATCTCTCCTTGTGCTTTTAGAAAATACAAATTTATTGCCATGAAAAAGCTCTGTGTGATCCTCCTTTCCATACTTTTCCATCCTCTTGACTCACACTGACCCTCACTGACCATGCTCCAGCTACACGTTCTGGTCCTTGAACACCCCAGGCTTGCTTTGCCTCAAGACCTTTGTACCTGCCCAGTTGGTGTGGCTCAGTGATGGAGTGTCAACCTATTATAAGAACCAGGAGGTTGCAGTTCAATTCCTGGTCAGGACACATGCCCACATTGTGGGCGTGATCCCCAGTGTGGGGTGTGTAGGAGGCAGCCGATCGATGATTTTGTCTCATCGTTGATGTTTCTCTCTCCCCCTTTCCCTTAACTCTCTGAAATCAATAAAAATATATTTCTTAAAAGACATTTAAAGAAAAAAAGACCTTTGTACCTTCCGAGGACTGTACCAGAAATACTCCTTCCTTTCAAATATACCACCCAAACTGTATTAACTGCTCCCCTCTGATTACCCTCTTAACATATCAGCCTACTTTGTTTTCCTTATAGGACTTAAAAATCATCAAATTAATCTTTCTTATATGGTGGCCTTTTTTAATGTTTTTATTGAATTTTAGAAGAAGGGAAAGGGAGAGAGGGAGAGAAACATTAAAGAAAAAACATTTATCAGCTGCCTCCTACTGGGCAGAACCTGACCGGGAATTGAACTGGTGACCTCTTAGTGCATGGGTTGATGTTCAACCACTGAGCCACACGGACCAGCCTGTGTTAGCATTTCATTGTCGGTCTCTATTAAAACAACCTCATTAGTGCCTGGAAGAGCACCTGGTTCAAAGGGGCTCTCAACAAATAATTGTTCAACAGATATAGGACCTTGTATCTTACTTTGCTTGAGTTTTGGGTGTATGGCTCACCCAGAGAATCCATTGTAGAGGAAGGGAGACGGGTAGGGCAGGATTGGGGCTGTTCCAATAATACCACTAAGTGCCATAATAAATAATTTTGAGTTCTAATGTTATGCCTTTAAAAATACCCTTTGTAGATTTAGCACAAGTGCTGAGACCACAGTAGAGAGCTGGGCAAGGACTCTTCCCAGGCCCCTTTGTTCATAGTCCCCATACTACCCTCGCTGTTGCCAGGCACACACCCTCTTTCTTCTGCCTTCTATGTGAGCACATCTCGCCTCTGTTGTGCACACTGCTTGGCCCTCAGTGCGCCACACCCTTATGTGTCACACCCTCAGTGTGTACACACAGACACTCCTCATAATCTCAGAACTCTTTCACTGAATTACTTCAGCTTTATTTTGGTTGAGGGCTCAGGGTAAGGGTGGGCTGCACACATGGACTCTCCGTTGAACACAGATGGCGGGGCTGAGCTTCGTGGGCATGGGCAGATACATCAGGATATTCTTGCTGTTCAGGCTAGGAGTGCCCAGGGGCCCTTCCATGTACACAGGACAGGAATATACAGGCAGGCCAGTGAAGGGTGGCAGGTCATTGGTGTCCCGGGCCTGGGTGCTAACACTGACTGGAGGCAGAGGACTGGGCTGGCTGGTGGGACCATCCTTCAAGGCTCCTGCTAGCGGATCCCACTGGGCATTCCAGAGCTGTAGCCCAATCAGCAGCACGGCTCCTGCCTCTGGAACCATGGGCTTTGGGCTGCTCACCACCTGGGGACACCAGAAGCCGGTCAGGCAGGGCTAGGAAGCTACGGGGTTTTCCTAGAGTGGGATCAGGGAAGCAGACGGGGCCACTGAGTGGGACAGGATCACCAAGCGGCAAAGTAATTTAGCTTCTAAGTGTAATCAGGAAGGTTGAGGGGGTGGAATTGGAATTGAAGGGGCTGCTGGAAGATACCTGAAGGTGCAGAGGGCTGCTGTTCAGCTCCTGATATTTTTGGGGTAAATGCCTAGAGCTGAGGCCTTCGGCGCCAGGCACATTCGAGCTGGGCATGTAGTGGTCAAGGGGGCCCGTAGCAAAGGCGGCCTCCCAGCGCAGTGACAGCAGCAGGCGGTGTGGGTGGCGAAAGGCTGATAGGTGAAAGATGCGCTTTGGTGCCGCAGTGCCCACGCCCAGGTAGCGAACTAGCTGCTCCCCACGGCGCGACAGCTGTCTCAGCCAGTGCCAGGGCGGCTGCAGCCAGGCAGGCGCATAGCGTCTCCAAGGCAGGGGTAGGCGGCCAGTCCACAGAGCGTTGGCCACCGCTACACAGCGCTGGGAGAGGCACGTGTGTACTCCTTCCAGCTGTTGTGACAGGCAACTGAGGTCCTCCTGCAGCGTGCTCACCAGCTGGCTCAGTTCCTGCACTTCCATCTGAAGGAAGCCCTCCACAGCTTGCCCCGCATTGAGCCCCATCTTCAACCACCCGGCGGCACCAGTGGCACCAGACTCTTGGTGAGTGGTCTGGGTCAGCAGAGCCTGCAGCGACTCCAGTGTCTGCTTGGCTAGAACCAGGCGCTGCTGCAGCCGCCTTTGCCTTTTGGCGTGTCTGGAGCCACCTGGCGCAGACACCCAAATGAGTGAACACCGTTGCAGGGCACGCAGGAGAGCGCGACTCTGGCGTCGCAACAGCCAGGCCTGGGGTCCAGCACTCAGTCCACAGGTCCTGGGTTCGGGCGGTGTGGGCAGTTGGTGCATCTGGGCCTTGCATTCTGACAAAGCATCCAGCTCCTCTAGATCTTGGAGGTGGAGGTAAGGAGTGAGAGACAAGGTGGACTCAACCCACCTCAGACCCAGGGGAGTAGGCCTTCCTTTGACAGGTCCAGCCATTTCCCCACAACCGTATGAAGACCACCCCCTCCTACTCCTTTGTTGCCATGCTGTTCACATTCCCAGGAGGATGGCACTACACTGCCTTTCCCCACCCCAACACAGATACCTGACAGAGCTTACCTGGGCTGGGTATCAGAGTGGCCAGCAGATACTGCGGGGTGTGTGGTTGGTCCCAACTCGACCTGCTGGGGCTCAGGCAGGCATGTATGAGGCTAATCAGGGCCTCCCTGTCCTTGTTGTCTCCCACGGGACCTCCGTAGAAAACTGAAGCTGAAGATGAGGGTAGAGCCCTCAGTTCCAGACCCTCCGGTTTCCACCACTTCCCAAACCAAAGCTATAAATGATGTGCCAGTCTCAGTACTTCCACCTCCACCCCTTTCCAGAGCTGTCCTGGGGGCAGATGAGACTACACGGGGGACAGGAAGGGTCTCACCAGCCAACTCCTCCATGGCAGCCTGGGGATTGCTAAGGCTGGCCCACAGCTGGTCTTGCATCTGAAGGACCTGAGTCAGGGTCACCTGATTCCTGGGGGAGAGGAGAAGGAAGTAGGGTTTCAAAACTATTTATATGCTGAGGACTCACATCTTTCCTCGCTCCTGAGCTCCTGACTCATGTGGGCTCACTAGTCATTTCCACTTGGCAACTCAAATACAACTTGCTTTCAGTAAAAATCATTTCCCTCCGCACCCACCATCCAATTGTTCAAGGCAGAAATCTGGGAGCCATCCTTTGACTACTGCTCTTCCTCATCCAATATATACCATCTACCACTGCTATGACTACCCTAGTCCTATCACCATGATCTCTTTCCTCGAGACTTCCAGAGTCTTCTAAAGCTATTCTGCTTGCCTCCAGCACAATCCTGTCTGGCCTATCCCTACAATGAAGCCAGAGTGATCTTTCCAACAGACAAGTAGGGTTGTATTTCTTCTCCTACTTAAAACCCTGCAGTGGTTTCCTACTGTCCTCAGTATAAAATCAGTCCCCTTGCCATGGTCTTAAAGACTCTTTACCACAAGCTTCACCTCTTCCCCTTAACCCCCAGCATGTCCACTGTAGGCACACTGTTGTCTTCTCCCTCCTTCTGAGTTTAGTTCCCTCTGCTCAGAAAAGCTCCATCTCCACTTAATCTGCCCCTGCTTATAAGACTCAATTCAAAGCGAGATTCCCCAAGACCGGAAGGTTTCCTTGGCTTCCCCCTGCCCTCACACTTTGGAATTCCCCAGAGAGTGAATCCAGCCTAGGAGAAGGTTTCCTTGGCTTCCCCCTGCCCTCACACTTTGGAATTCCCCAGAGAGTGAATCCAGCCTAGGAGAAAACAATGTTTGCTTCTGCTGGAAGCTAATTCCATCATGTCATAAATGCAAGAAGTTTCATCAAAAGGTTGATGGAACCTTGAGGATTGCCTACTGGGAGTGGTTAAGAACATTTCCCCACACCTAAAGATATTTGGATAGATGATTCCTTGCTGCCAGACAGCCAAAGGCATTTTACTCTACATGTTATTGCCTCCTACTGGCCAAACACCTGAACAGCCATAGGCAGTTCCCCCAATCTGACAATGGATTCTATATACTAAATCTTGCCTTTGATTTGTATATCTTCTTTGCCCTTGGACAGTTTGTGTTAATAAAAAGCAAGGGGTCTAGAGTTACAGAAGGACTTGGACTTGGTTTCTTTAGTTAAGTCTTCTCTGGCCCCCCAAAATGCCTTCCAAAATTATGTTCCATCTCTAGGCTTTTTAATAATCTACAGCAGCCCTTCTCCAGATTCCTAAAATCCTTCTAGATATCAAGAAACACACACCCAGCAGCTTCGGGACTGACTGAGTGAGTAGAATAGGTGTGGTCCTCACCAGTGGCCCCTGTGTGCCTGCAGCTTCATTCCATAGAGCTGCCTGTGTAGTAGGAGGCCATGTAAGATGAGCAGAGGCATTGTCCTGGCAAGGGGTTGCACACAGAGTTCTTGTTGGGCTAGCTCCACATTGTCAAGCAAGACATGGCTCAGTTCCAGGGACTGCTCCCAGAAAACAGGCATGCAGTGATGAGTCAGCACAGCTGGAGAGGAAGGAGAGTGCTGAATCAGCACAGAACAATTGCCCTCTCCTCTTCCATTTGAGAGCCTTTGGGGCGGGGCTCCTTACCTGGTAAGGAAGCAATAGACTCTGCAGATGCAATGAGCCAAAGACGGAAGTCTTTGTGAACCATATTCCTGCTTGCAGATGAGGCTAAAAGCAGTTCTGACTCCGGGTCTGAGACTACTAAGGGAAGGACATGGGACTGAAATTAATCACTGGGTAAAGAGGGTCAGACAAGTCTAGAGATTGGACCTGAGGCTAAGGGTTCAGGAGTCAGATACAGGGGACAGGCTTGAAGCTAGGGATTGGTCGTGAGACCTGAGAGTTCAAGCTTAGGCCCAAGTATAGGAAAGGGTCCTAAGAATGATCTTTCAGCCGAAATCAGTTTGGCTCAGTGGTAGAGCGTCGGTCTGCGGACTGAAAGGTCCCAGGTTCGATTCCGGTCAAAAGCATGTACATTGGTTGCGGGCACATCCCCAGTAGGGGGCATGCAAGAGGCAGCTGGTTGATGTTTCTCTCTCATCGATGTTTCTAGCTCTCTATCTCTCTCCCTTCCTCCTCTCTGTAAAATATCAATAAAATATATTATAAAAAAATGATCTTTCAGCAACAAACCCACCCTCGGCTCCATCCAGCAGTCGCAGCAAGGGCTGTAGCAGCTCTTTTGGCCAGTGAGGCATCAGGTGACAGTTCTCCAGCACCAGCCAGTGCCCTTTGTACATAGCCTGGCATAGAGTGCTGACCACATCAGAGACTGGGTTCCAGGCCTCAGAGCCCAAGGCTATCACCTCCAGATGTTTCTGCCCCTGAGAACCACAGAGAGATGTCAGAACAACTCAAGGTGATACTGGGGTGCCCCAAGGGACTCAGAGTAACACCACAATGACCCCAAAAGTCTCCAAGTAAGCCAGAAACGTCCATGAGAATGCTGGGACGCCATTCCCACCCCATTCTAGCCCATAGGAGCCTGGTTGCTTTGTGGCCAAGAGGTTGGTTCAAACCTGCTCATGCTGGTCAGCCAGTTTCTGGATGACAGCCAGGGGATGCAAAGTGGCTGTAGGGTGACCAGGTGGTGGCAACAAGACCAGCAGGGGCTGAGTTGCCTGACTCTGTTCAAAGGGTATGGTGGAAGGACCCAGGTTCTCATCCAGGGGCCGGCCCAGGAGGCTGGTGGTGAAGTCTGCCAGGGCACCTGCAAGGCACTCGGGTTTCAGCACACGCCACAGGATCAGCTTTTGGAGGAGGCTGCGTAGATCAGGCCCAGGTGCAGGCCCCAGCACTGTGGATGACAGGGTCAGGTAAGACTGCCAAACACTGGAGTGGCCTGCCAGGGATACACGCAGCCCTGAAAATGGGGGCAGCAGCTCTAACATTCCACATTCGTGCCAGGCTCTCATCCCGAGCCAGGCTGGTCGAGCCACACCTGGGATTGGCTTGCTAGAGCCCATGCTGGGAGAGGCTTCCAGTCCAGGCCAGAGTGCCAGCCTCTCCAGAAGTGGTGCCTTCCTTGTCTCACACAGCAGCGCCAGAGCACCCAAGGCACCTACCAAGGGCATGTGGGTCAGGCCCAGCGCATCCACCATGCTGCACAGCAGCTGGCGAGTCAGCCGTGCCTTCAGCTGTAGCAGATGGCTGTTTAAGTCCTTCCCCGGATGGTTCTCACACTGCTTCATGCTGTTCAGAGCCCGCTTGGTGGCTGCCAGCCAGTTCTCTGGGCTCATACGGAAAGGTGGCAGCAGGTCTTGCAGTGGGCTAAGGGCCCTGATAATGGCTATCCCATGCTGGACCACCTGCTGATAGGGTGCCCACTGTAGCATCTCCTGCAGCTTCAGGTCTTCTAGCTCCTCGCGGTAGGCAAGCAGTTGACATAGTTCTGCCTGGTCCCTTACCATGCCCCGCAGGAACTTGGCTAGATGATCATTTGGGTTCTTGTACAGCAGCCTCAGCAGGAGCCGCTCCTGCACACAGTCATTGTTGCATGGATTTGTCCCTTTCCCCCACAGTCCCCTGCAGTCTCCACTCTTCTCCACCCCCATACCTGGGCCCCTGCCAAGCTCATCCCAGCCCATATAGCGGTCCCCTGAGCACCTGAACAGCCTCCACAGCTTCGAGGGTATCCAAGGTTCTCATCTGGAGGTTCTGCCAGCGGCTCTCGAACTTGGGACACTCCATGCACAGGATTTCATGCAGCATCTGTTCTTCTAGGATGTCCATGTTCAGACCCAGATCCAGCACATTCAGCACTTTCAGCAGTTCACAACCTAGCACTTGGGGTGATATGGGAGACCCTTGACCCTTTCCCTTGGAGCTGGAGGATGGGATGCACAGAGAGTGTGGTTTTCTGCTGTAGTCCTGAGCCCGTTCTGGGCCAGACTGAGTGAAGCTGGGGGCCTAGTATGTCCACAAAGCTGTGCTAGCAACTTACCCACTGGCCCTCACCTTTTTTCAAGGCACCAAGGGGGAGGGTGGTGCTCAGATAGAGACAGAAGCCAGGCTGCACCTGGGGTGGGCTCAGCTGCTCCCGCTGCAGTAGCCATGGCAGTTCTTGGCACCTTAGTCCCAGCTCCATATTGGTCAATAACACAGGCAGGCCTGTGAGGGGGAAGCAAGGACTCTCTACCCACCGTGCCAGCACCAGGCCCTCCATGTGCAAAATCTGGCTCTGATGAGCTCCTCTCTGACTGAGCAGGGCTCCCTCAGGGCTCTTGAACAGAGTTAGTGCCCAGGATGAAAGTGGGAGCTGAGGTCAGACTGGGCTGTGAGAAGCCTGTGGGTCCACAGAGTTGGGGGAGGACAGAAGGGAGACGTGGTGGGCAAGGACCAGTTCTTACCTTTGGCAGCTGCCGCCAGGAGCTGAGGACCCAGGTCTGGGTCAGAGCCTGAGAGTACACTGAGGTAGGGAAAGGGCGGAGACTGGGTCTCAGAGGCTGGCCTTGACTGCTGGCTCTCTGCCTCATCCTCCTTGTTCTCTTGCTCTTCTTGCTTCTCTTCCTTGTCTATCACCTCCTCCTTTCCATTTTCCTCTGCCTTGGAACTCTTTTCACTGTCGTCATCTTCCTCTTCTGCATCCTCTTTATACTCTTGACTTCTGTCGCCCTTCCCTGTGCAGAAAGATGCAGAGGGAGCTCTTCTCAGAGAAGGAATCCGCCTGCTAGGGAGCAAGGCCCACCCAAGGGCTCCATCTCATGAGGGACGTCGCTTAGGTTCCTTGGGACTCAGTTTCCTTATCTGCAAAATGGGGTTGCTATCAGGGAGCCCTGAAAGGTTACTGTGAAGATGACATGAAATAGCACATAGGAAGCACTTAGCTGGCACCTCGTAAGCAGTCAATAAATATTAGCTATGGTTATTGCTACTCTAAAATTCCAGGGAGGGATTCTGGTCAGCCCTGAAATTGACCCATCTCTGCCTTTCTGTGGGTAGAAGAGTCAGTGCATTCCCCTTTTTTGCCAAAGCTAATCTGTGACTAACAACTAAAAGAGTAGTCACTAATACAGAAATCAGTGCTCATAAGTGTAACACCAGGGAGAGGGGGGAGAAAGGTCACGAGAGCCAAAATTCTGCCTACCACATCTGGCTATTCAGACTTCTGAAAGATCTTTTGTTTTCCTGACAAATGGAATGACTATCAGTGACTCTGACATGATGCCTGGAGGGATAGCAGCCAACTAGGTAACAGATTATCACAAATAACAGTGGCTTAAAACAATAGAAACTTATCTCTCATAGGCCTGGGAGCCAGAAGTCCAAAATCAAGGTACTGGCTTTAAGGAAGATTCCTTCCTTGTCTCCTCCAGCTTCCAGTGGCTTCAGGAGTTCCTTGGCTTGTATTTACATAACTCTACTATTTGTCTCCATCTTCACATGGCTTTCCCTCTGTGTACTTATGCCTTCTCTTCTCTCCCTTTTTTCTTTAAAACTTTACTTTTTATTTATTTCAGAGAGGAAGGGAGAGTTATAGAGAGATTGAAACAACAGTGATGAGAGGGAATCATTCATTGGCTGCCTCCTGCATGCCTCACACTGGGGACGAAGCCCGAAACCCAGGCACGTGTCCTGACTGGGAATCAAACCATGACCTCCTGGTTCATAGGTCAACATTTAACCACTGAGTCATGCCGGCCAGGCTCTTCTCTCTCTTATAAGGATACTAGCCATTACATATATGGTCAACTCAATCTAGAGTGGTTTCATTTCAAAGTTCTTAATTACATCTGCAAATGCTCTTTTTCCAAATAAGATCACTTTCATAGGTTCCAGGGGTTAGGATGTGGATATATATTTTGGGGATCCACCATTCAATCCACTACAATTATACAACGTGATAATCCAACATGCTAAAGACCATAGAGCAGAAAGATGGAAGAATTTGGGTGCTTGAAGGCAACATGGAAGCCCTGTACTTATCTCATACTTATTATAATGTGAGCTAAATAAATCCCTGTTTGTTTAAGCCATGGTAAGTTGGGTTTTTGTTACTGGCAGTGAGCATTCCTAACTGATTCAGCAAGGTGGGGGTTGGAGGAAGCCACTTTCCCTACTGGGAAGGTGGCTGGGCTGTGTGGTAGGTAAGAAGCTGCTTTATCTCATGAGACTTAGACCATGTGCTCACTGAACTTTAGTAGATTTATTAGAAGATATTGGAGTATGCTAGCTACTTCTCTACTTAGATGAGAGAAACTTTAAGGACATTCCTTTCTGCTCATATCAAGCAATTTCAGACCACAGATGACAAGATAGTCAAATCTCTGACTGAGTTGTAAAAATGATCCTCTAACTCATGCTGCATGGAATAGGAAATTATGGGCTTCCTGATTCTCTAGGTCCATCCCAAGCACTTCTCTCCATGCACTCCCTACTTAACAAAGATAAATCCTTTGGATTTGGATACAGCCCAAAGTAATAGGGGCTAAATTTCATGGCCAACCAGCCTCCGCTCACTACCCAGACTATTTTCTTACTTACAGCTCTGAGGTCAAGGACAAGATTTAGATGTGTGACAATTACACCAAGGCTAAGTGAAATTGGTGGAGCCCCCAGAATCAATGTTAAGAGACAGAAGGTAGAAGTTATGATTTAAACTCAAGACTGAGAATGTACCAAGGTTTCTTGCATTCTCTAATAGCTAATAGAGTCCTTATGAATGAAATCTGTAGTAAAAAGATGAGCTATTTAAGGGGGATAGCCAGAAAAACCTCCCATCTGGTAACAAATTATCTGGGTCTGTTTAAGGCAAATCCTAAGTTCCTATACATTTAAGGCAGAACAGCTACAAACAGGGGACTTCTTACTCCACTTTCCTTTCATAGGTAGCCCTGAGGGCAATGGGAGAAGAAAATTACACTAGTTATCAGAACCCCAGGCAGCTGACCTGGCTGTCCAAGAATTCCATAGCCAGTGAAACAATGCTAATTATTTGTCTTACTATCTCTCTCTCTGATATACAGTACAAGCTAGAGATTAATATAGAGTGTTTCTTACCCTTGCCCAGTTTCTAAGCAGGAAGCTTATAGCAGTTATCTTGATTTGATTTTGCTTCACTTTGTATATCAGGTATGTTGGTTTGGTGAGATGGCATGTAATCTACCATAGGTTAAGGAATCATAAGGACCCACATCCAAATCTAATCAAGAGCAATGAATAGCATTCAGAGTTCCTGGTCTCAGAATTGAAGAGTGTCTGTTAGGTGGTGAATTCATTGGAGTTACACATGTGATCGTTATATAATGGGAAGTTTTATAATGGTACATGGACACCATGGAAAGTAGTGCTGAATAGCCAAGGAAAGGACTGTAATAATGGTAGCAGTAATATATTAGTAATAATAAAGACTAATGTTTTGGAGAACTTATTATATAGAGTGACCCCCCCCCCCAAAAAAAAATGTGTACACACTTAAAATAATTCTAAAGGCAGTGTTTATTAAAATAAATTTCATTTTCAAAATTGGGCTATCAACTATTAAAGTGTATGTACATTTTGGGGGAACACCCTGTGTATTAGGCACTGTGCGAAACCATTTTATGTGAATTACCATACTTAATACTCACAACACTTTATGAGATGGATATAACTAAGACCCTCAATTTATTGCCAAATAAACAGACTTAGAGAGATTAAGTAACTTGCCTTAGGTCAGCGGTTCTCAACCTGTGGGTCCCGACCCCTTTGGGGGTCGAACAACCCATTCAGAGGGGTCGCCTAAGACCATCGCAAAACACAGATACTTACATTATGATTCATAACAGTAGCACAATTACAATTATGAAGTAGCAATGAAAATAATTTTATGGTTGGGCATCACCACAACATAAGGAACTGTATTAAAGGGCCATGGCATTAGGAAGGTTGAGAACCACTGCCTTAGGTCAACAGTTAGCAAGAGACAAATGAATGACCCAGATAGTCTGATTATAGAGCCTATGAAACAGACCCCTTTATCATGCACCTCCTGTTAGAGATATTTGCAATTCTCATCCCTAACCCTTTCTTCTGGGAAATAAACACCCTCCCTCCCTTCCCTTAGAAAATGTTCCTTCTCATACTCCACCCAGATGAGTCTCTGACCCAAGCAGAGCCAAAAGAAATACTTCCCCAGAATTCCTGGACATAGGGACAAATTTGGATGGTAAAGCTCTGAGCTGTTAGCCAAGTTTCCAGTAATGCTAAGCCGACCAGGGAAGTGGAAGAGCATGGACTGGTCAGACACATAGGTTCAGAATCATTGCCATTTGGGCCAAAAGATGTAAATGTGACCTAATTTGAATAGGCTGGTGAAATCTAGGGTTCCTTGGCCACAAAAATGTAATTATGAAAAGGAATATCACTGTGGCTCCGGTGCCGGGCAGTTCAGACGCCCGAGAAACACTATGATCATCATCCCTGGCGTTACCTCTGTCCTCCGTGGGACCTGGGGCCAGCAATCTAGCATGTTCCTGAGGCAGTGGGTTCAGCCACATGAGGGCCTGCTTGTTGGGGTCAAGCACCAGAGGCCAACGGCAGTTGAAGTAGTGGGTGCGACTTCGCAGAAGCAGGGCTGCCAGGCGAGCTGACTTCGCCTGGGGCTTCAGGTCTCGGTCCCACTGGAACTGTTCGGATTCAGAGCTCAGTAAGGACAGAAGGCTGAAGGACGAGCACGTGGGGAGCAGGGGCTTTTTTGATGGTACGATGACAGGTTTCTGATTCTGCTTCAGGGCCTGTGCCACGTCGTCTGGGCCCAGAGTCTCCTGAAAGCCCTTACACAGAGCCAGCCACTTTGCCAGCAGCTCCTGGCGCCGTAACGGTGGGAAGGGACCCAGGTAAACGATGGCAGCTGAACACAGGAGGGCATCGCCAAACACGGTCAGGCACTGCCTATTCAAGTTCTAGTGTGGAAGGGGAAAAACCAGAGGGCGTGCAGGCCTGTGAGGAGGGTAGAGGCAGAGGGTCTAGCAGAAAAGGGGCAAGGCAGGGTATGGAGGAAAGCATGGCAAGGGGGCAGAGTGAGACAGAGGGAGGCAGGGAGGGCACTGAGAGGAGGAGGAATGCGGGCAGTGGTACAGAAATGAACTTTGGGGGGACATCTGGGAGGGGCTGGTTACCTGGAGCTCCGAAGTCCAGGAATGCATGGGCGCAAGCAATGCAGACTTTATGGGCCACTGGTATGACTGGTCAGTCTGAGTCCAACTGAACCTCTCTGCCAGATGGCCGTGGGAAACCTGGATAGCTTCCAGCTGCTTAGTCAGGGCCAGATTGCGCTCCAGGGTCTCCTTAATCCGGAACTGGTAGTTGGCCAGTTGTGCCTGCTCCCGAGCCAGTGTCGCCTCTATCTGCCGCAGCAGCAGGCCCGTGGGCAGTCCTCGGAGTTGTGCCAGCCTGTAGCGCAGAACAGCCCAGAGCCAGGCGGCCAGGCTTGCTGCAGGTGCGCTTACTGCCCGCAAAGCTGCGTCACTCATACCTGGAGCCTTCAGGATAGCGCGTAAGTTTATTATCTCTGAGTCTGTCATCTTCTCCTTGGGGAAGAACACCAGCTCCTGGGAGAGTTTATGTTCAAAGGAATGGAGGGGGAGAAGGGGAGGATGACATAGATGCTCGGAACCTTACTCCAACATTCTTACCTTGTCAAGTGTCCCTTTTACGCCACTGCTCTCCTCATCCAGGATGGCCCGCACTCCCTACCTGATAAAAATCTTCGGTGCATAACAGCTGCTTGGCACTGGCCCAGCCTCTTTCACGGTGGAACAGGTCACACAGTGCATTGGTCACCCGGATCACAGATTCCGGTGGCGCTCGGTAGCTTCGTATCTCCTCAAAATCAGTCAGCTTCAGCTGGCTCAGGGGCCCAAGAAATGCCTTGCCCATCTAAACGAGGACAAGTGAGCTCTTAAAAGTGCCCTCTTTAGCAAGAGCAAAGAAGGTAGTTACCTATAAAGGATCACCTATACGATTGTCAGCTGACTTCTCAACAGAAACCATGCAGGCCAGACGGGAATGGCAAGAAATATTCAAGGTGATGAATAGTAAGAACCTACAGCCAAAGATAATCTATCCAGCAAAGCTATCACTCAGAATCGAAGGTCAGATAAAGAGCTTCACTAATAAAAAAAAGCTAAAGGAGTTCATCAACACCAAACCAGACTTATATGAGTTGCTGAAGGGAGTTCTTTCAGAAGAGAAAGTAAACAAAGATAAAAATTATGAACAACAAATACGTAACCATCAACAAGTGAATCTAAAAACCAAGGAAATTAAAAAAAAAAATCTGATGAACAATATTAACTGTTCAATATAATAGAATCCGAGGTATGGAAGGGGACTGAACTGAAGATTCTTGGGGAAAAGGGGAGAGGAGGGTGTGGGAAGAGACTGAACATAAACTGTGCACCTATGGATGAGGACAATGGGGAGTGGGGAAAGGGCAGAGGGTGGGGTGGGAACCTGGTGGAGGAGAGCAATAGTGGGGGGGGGGGGGAGGAACATTTGTAATAATATGAACAATAAAAACTTATTTAAAAAAAAAAAAAAAAAAGTGCCCTCTTTGTTCAAGGTATGGTCAAGAGGGATCATCTCCTCTTAGGAGCCCCCATAAAGGGGCCATTCCTCAAGCCATCTCATTACTGTTGTCCCCTCCCCCAGGAGACTCCATGGCAAATCACCCCATCCTCTCCTCTGGGCATCCTATCAGGAGCTGTCCTCTCCCAAGAGAAGAGCAGTTCAGGGCAGGAGACAGGAAGAGCCCACCTGCTCCAGGAAGGCCTCATGCTGAGCCCGCAGGGCATCCCACTGCTTGGTCAGGTTCCTAATGAGGATCTCCTGCTGCCGACACTCTGCCAGTTGCCGCCTGTACAGGATCTTGCTTTGCTCTAGTTGCTGACGCAATATGCTGATTTGCTGTGAACAGAGATCCAGGCTGCAACTCCAGATCCTAGACCAGGTTGGGGGAATACCCCAGGGAAGACTCCATGGGCTTGGGACTCCAGCACACTCTTCACTTTATAATCAGAGTGATCAAGCTGAACTCCAAGTAAGCCACTGATATAGACTGAGCTCTGGAGCTATCACTTCCTGGTCTGTGAGTGACGATGCAGCCCCAATTGGTGGTTCTCCTGACCCGCCATACAGATCCGGGCAATCTGAATTCGATGCCTACATGTTTCATCATTTTGCTACTCTTTTCTCTTACAAGACCCATTAGTGGCATTTGTCACAGAGACAGTTCCCTTCCTCTTGAAACATTTCCTCCCCTCTGAGATTCATGATACTGTGTTCTCCTTTGGCTTTCTCCAACTTCTGTGGCTGCTCTTTCTCAGTCTTTTACTCTGTCACTCCTTAAATATTCCTCAGCAATTTTTTCAGGACCCCTTCTCTCCTCACCCCATATTTCAATGTGCCCTCCCTAATCTCACGGCTTTTATTGCCATTTATATTTTGACAACTCCCAAGTCTCTATCTCTAACCATATTTTCCCCCAAACCCTTTACCCTTGTATCCATCTGCTTAGTAGGAACTTCCTCTTCATTGTCTCACAGGCCCCTCAGATTCCACATGTCGAAAAAAGTATATATTGGCCTCCTCAGATCTCTTGCAATTTTACTCATCTATTCATGTGTTCTTTTTCGTAGAATTGTGGCAAGATAAACCCAAGTTTCCCAAGCCTAATTGCTATCCTGACTCCATCTCTTCTCTTTCCCTCAAACCCTACGTATTTCCTTTCAATTATACCTCCTAATGTCTCTCATGACTATTCCCATCCCCAATATCCATCACCTATGCCTATGCTCTCTTCACTCTGACCTTCTATACTGGCTTCTACTCTTTTTACTTTTCTTTTTTTAAAATATATTTTATTGATTTTTTTACAGAGAGAAAAGGAGAGGGATAGAGAGCTAGAAACATCGATGAGAGAGAAACATTGACCAGCTGCCTCCTGCACACCCCCTACTGGGGATGTGCCAGCAACCAATGTACATGCCCTTGACCGGAATTGAACCTGAGACCCTTCAGTCCGCAGGCAGACGCTCTATCCACTGAGCCAAACCGGTTAGGGCATGGCTTCTACTCTTAATCCCCTCCTCTAATCATTTTCCATGGTGGAGCCTGATTAGTTTTCTAAAAACCAAATATCATCATCATCATGTCTCTTACCACACCTGCCATTCTTTCATTCGGTCTATAATGCCTCGATGACCAGAAAGCCTCTACTCATGATTGCAACTTCACCTCCTTTCCCTTTCCCATTACTCTATTCTCCAGTCATTTCTGACTTTCAGTTCCTCCAATGTGGCACACATTCTTTTGCCTCTGGGCTTTTGCATATGCTGTTACTTCAGCCTGTGACATTCTTCCTCTCCACCTCCATTTATGCAAAATCTTACTTAATCTTCAGCTATCAACTTTGATGTACTACATTCATTTGTTTACATATTTAAAAAATGTTTTTGAGTGCCTACTTTGGCACTATGCTTTCTTTCTTTTTTTAAAAATATATTTTATTAAGAGAAAGGGAGAGGGAGAGTTAGAAACATCCATGAGAGAGAAACATCAATCAGCCACCTCCTGCACACTGGGGATGTGACCGCAACCAAAGTACATTCCCTTGACCAGAATTGAATCTGGGACCCCTGAGTCTGCAGGCCAACTCTCTATCCACTAAGCCAAACTGGCCAGAGCATGCTTTCTTTAGAAAGTTTTTTTTTATTTTATTTTATTTTTTTTATACTTCAGAGTATCCTGGACTTACTCTGTCATTACACACTTTTAATTGCTTGGACTCATTTATATCTTTCAGTAAAGTAGGCACCATAAAAGCTAAGACAATGCCTTATCTTTCTTATTAGGAGGCACTCTCACCTAATAGTATAATAATAGTAGTTAACATTTATTGAAACTCTTACTATGTGCCAGCATTTTTAAATGCTTTACATGTAAGATCTCATTTAATGCTCATTCTAAAGCTCTCTGGATTTCAGTTTTCTCATTTGTAAAATGGGGGGGGGGGGGGGGTGCCGCGGAAGGGGAAGGGAATGGCTACCTCAGAAACTTGTGGCAACGATTCTATATCTATCTATCTATCTATCTATCTATCTATCTATCTATCTATCATCTATCTATCATCTACCTACCTACCTACCTACCTATCTACCTACCTATTTATCTATATATATATCCATCTAGATGTAAACATAATATGTAGATGTAGACCAGTGCTTGGCAAACTAGTCGACAGAGCGGCAAACTGAGGCTCGCGAGCGGCATGTGGCTTCTGAGTCGCAATTTGCTGACCACTGATGTAGACATTGACATAAATATTAATGAATGCCTGAACAAAAAATGTGGACTTCAATTAATTTTTGTTGAGTACAGTAATGAATAAATGAACCAACTGAATATGAGAGAGAAAAGAGAGAGAGTTGTTCAGAATAACTTCTGGGATTTGGCTTAAATAACTAAGTGAATGATAGTGCCATTTCCTGGGGTGGGGAATATTGAGAGAAGCACACACTTATCTTGGCTGTTGAGTGAATGAACAACGGATCTGATACTGATAGAGCATTCAGGAAAAGAAGAGGCTCAGAGGGAGAGGTGACCACGAGACTGTAATCCCTGCCCCATTCCTAATGGAATCTTCAAAGACCTTGGGGAGCATTCTGAACTTCACACAATCAAGCTACTAGGGGAAACCAGAAGCTACACTTGGGTTTCATGCGTTTAGAAGAATCAGCCAGGTCTCAGATGTTTTATGGGGAGTTTTGGATCAGCATGGAGCAGAGAGACCTCATGGGTGAAGGGGGACTCTCCAGGGTCAAGAACTAAGGTTCAGTTTGGTTGGTTCCTCCCAAATCCCCTTTGGGGCTCCTGCATTGGACCATAGTCTTCTCCCTCTTACCTTGTAGGTGTCTTTCATCTCCTGTTTCATCACGGTGACCTGGTTGGTTTGGACATTGTGTTGCTCAAATATTGCTGTCAGATTCTCCAGAGCATTGTTGAACCTGGAGATACAGTGACCCAGTCAGTGTCTCTGAGGGAGCAGAATGAGGTACAGGGCAGGGAATGGGACCGCTCACCGCTGAGCCTTGTTCTTCATCTGTAGGATCATCTGTTGTTTCAGCAGCATGAAGGTCTCCAGGAAGTCTAAGAAGGTCTTGGGGGTGACGAGTGGCAATTCAGGGCACAGGTGGCCATGGTAGCTGGCAGCCGAAAGGTGGATGAAAGCCATGGCTTTGGCCAAACTGGGAATTGAGGCCTGGAGGTCTGGATACTTCAAGGTATCTGCAACAGGCATGACTTTAGCCTGGGCTAGTGAGTTTGTAGAAGAATGGAAAAGAAAGGAACCTTCTCCTGGCACTGAAAAGAGGGCAGAAAAAGTGAAGGGGACTCACTAGGGGTGTGTGTGTGTGTGTGTGTGTGTGTGTGTGTGTGTGTGTGAGAGAGAGAGAGAGAGAGAGAGAGAGAGAGAGAGAGAGAGAGAGGGAGAGAGAGAGCTAACTAATAATCCTATACAGAGTCTGTTTGAGATGAGGCACAGACAAGTAGAAAGTGCTCACCATCATCAAGCGGTAGATTCTGAGCACTGTTCAGATGGTACCGAGCCACACTGATCAGGGAGTCTTGGTCCCAGGGTTCATAGTGGTCAATGCTGGTGAGGAGTCTCCAGAAAAGGGTGGAGGGCAGTTGTTTGTGGGCCTGGTCATCTCCAATCAGGATGAACACGTGCAGATGGCTGCACACTTGTTGGTAGAACCTGTGGGCCAGGAGCTCAGATACTGTCCTCCCCTTAATCTCTATTTGCCCATGCATGCCCCAGTCCCAATCCTGAACCCTTAGCTCTGACCTTCTGAGCCCTCACAGAAACCCCTACTTTT